GGAGAAATTAAAAGGACACTTAAAAAATATTTTAAATTGAATTAAAATGAAAACACAGCATATCAGAATTTGTGGGATACCATTAAAACAGTACTTAAAGAAAATTTATAGCACCAAAGTCACTCTGTTTTATAATTTATAACACTCTGTTATCTTCACTTAACATAGATTGAAAAGAAGGAAGTTCTCAAAACAATGAACTCAGCTTTCACCTTAAGGGGAAAAGAGCAAATTAAAACAAAGCAAGCTAAAGAAAGGAACTAATAGAAATTAATAAAATAGAAAAGAGAAAAAACATAGATAAAAGTCAATGAAACCAAATCCTGGTTCTTTGAGAAGATCAATACTATTGATAAACCTCTAGCTGGATTTTAGGGAAAAAAAGAGAAAGAAACAAATTATTAGTATCAGGAATGAGAGAGGTGACATCACCTCAGATATCAAAATGATAAGGGAATATCTTGAAAAATATTTTGCCAATAAATTTGACAACTTGGATGAAATGGGCAAATGCCTTGAAAGACACAAACTACCAAAGCTCATTCAAGAAAAAAATAGATAATCTGATGATTTCTATATCCATTAAAGAAATGGAACATTTAGTTAAGATTATTACCATAAATAAAACTCCAGAAAACTGGTGAATTCTACTAAATAAACATTTAAGGAAGAAATTATACTAACTCTACACAAACTCTTCCAAAAAATTGAAGAGAAGGGAATATTGTCCAGTTCATTCTGTGAGGCCAGCATTACCCTGATACCCTCTTTCTGCCATGTGAGGTCACGACCAGAAATTGGCAGTCTGCAACCCAGAGGAGGGCTCTCACCAGAACCTGACCAGGCTGGCACCCTGATCTCAGACCCTTGGCCTCCAGAACTGTGAGCAATGAATTTCTGTTGTTGATAAGCTCCCCACTTAATGGCATTTTGTTATAACAGCCTGAACTGACTTAGACACTATTCCTTCTGTTCTGTTCTCCCTTTCTTCTATAGATAACAGCTTATCTCAATTCTTGGTTACCCATTCTCCCCTTTATTTTTAACAGCTAAGCAAATATATATATATATATATTTCTATTGCACCATTCTACCTATATTACACAAGGGGTTACATACTTACGTATATTGTTCTATACCTTTTTACACTTAAAAATGCAATCTTGGTGATTACTCCATATTATGCACAAGTTTTTTCCTCAATTTTTTAACAGCTTCACAGAATTTCTTTGTGTGATTATGTTATAGCTTATTAATTGACCTTTTATTGACATTTGGATCATTTCTAATCCTTTGCTATTGCAAATAATGCCACAAAGAATAACCTAGTGCTTTAGTCATTTAGTAATATTGGTAGTGTATTTTTAGCATAGGTACCTATTAGAAATTTGTTGGCTCGAAAGACAAATACATAATTTTTTTAGATATTGCCAAATTCTCCTCAGTAGGTATTACAACACCATTTTGCATTCCCACCAGCAGTGGATGAGAGGACGTATTTCCCACAGTTTTATCCTCAAAGTATGTTGTCAAACTTAGAGTTTTGCCAGTCAGATAGGTGAGGAATGGTGCTGTGGTATTTTATAGATGTTTGTTTCTCCTGTTATGAGCATCTTTTTTAGGTTTAAGGCCCTTTTTTATGTTTTTTCTTTTTGTGTAATATCTGTTTATATCATTTTACTATTTTTCTATCAGATTGTTGGTCTTTTTTTTTTTTTTTTTTTTTGCAGTACGCGGGCCTCTCACTGTTGTGGCCTCTCCCGTTGCGGAGCACAGGCTCCGGACGCGCAGGCTCAGCGGCCATGGCTCACGGGCCCAGCTGCTCCGCGGCACATGGGATCCTCCCAGACCGGGACACGAACCTGTGTCCCTTTCATGGCAGGCGGACTCCCAACCACTGCGCCACCAGGGAAGCCCTGTTGGTCTTTTTTTCCCCTTCAGATTTCCAGGAGCTCTTTGTATATTCTGGTATAGATTGCAGCTATCTTTTCTCATTTTTCCTCTGCATTTTTTCCTTTGCCTACAGTATTTTTCGATGTAGAGCCTTAAAATTTCTTTGTGTGTAGTTGAATTTATTACTACCTCTGAATTTTGCATCATAGGAAAAAGTTCCCCACTTCACTTGGGTTTCATCCAGTACATTTACCGTTTTTTCCCCCTTTTTACATTGGGACCTCTGATCTATTTGGAATTTTCCTTGTGCATGGATAGGCATTTGAATCTAATTTTAGATTTTTAGTTGTATGTGTCTTTCTCTTGATTGCCATTACCACACTGTTTTAATTACTATGCTGTTTTAGAATGTGTTTTATTATCTGGTAGTGCTGCTTTGCACAACCCCTCACCCCAGTAGTTTTTTTTTCTCCTTAGGGTTTTCATGATTATTCTTCTTGGTCACATGTACCTCAGTCAGCGCATAAATGCCCCAGCTTCCCAGTCTCTGGCAGGACAATTCTAGGAAATCATCTTCCACTTCTCAGATAGGATTACATCCAGTTGCCTACAGTGTTGCTCTTCTCATTAACACCTCCTTTATTAGTTTTTTCTCTTCTTGGTCTCACTTCCTCACTTGCGCCTCCTCGAATCACCTTCCAAATAAATTAAAAGTCTTTGCCTGGAGTTCTGCATTTGAGGAACCCAAATTAAGAAAGAATCATTTTTAGATTTTGACCTAGATGTAAAAGATACTGACCACTGAGACCTGAGTATGCTATATAGGTGTGTGTGGTGGTACAGAAGGGGAGGGAGAAGTGGTGCCTTCTAATTTAACTGTTCAGAATGTTGCTTTGTAGCTTGTTCTCTGGATTATTGCCCTGTAGCCTATATCTGATCTTTAGACTTAGAGCTTCTCTGAAATGCCCTTGGGAAGCGTTGGTCTCATCTTCCATATTTTGAACTCAAGTTCCTTTTTTTTTTTTTAACATCTTTATTGGAGTATAATTGCTTTACAATGTTGTGTTAGTTTCTGCTGTAGCACAAAGTGAATCAGCTATAAGTATACATATATCTCCATATCCCATCCCTCTTGTGTCTCCCTCCCACCCTCCCTATCCCACCCCTCTAGGTGGTCACAAAGCACCGAGCTGATCTCCCTGTGCTATGCGGCTGCTTCCCACTTATTTATTTTCTCCGTCAGCTTGATCCCATCTGTGTTAGTTTCTAGGATTTTCTCAAGATTTTGAATGTTCTGCTTGCTGTCTCCCTCTTTTTTTCCCCCAGCGTCCTTATGTATATGTATGTCTCTGTATTCTTGAAGCAAAACTTCTTAGGCATATTTATCTGAGTAAGTTTCAAATTTTATTACTCATTAATGAGGGATTAGCAGTTAGATAATTCCAGGCAAATTCAAAATGACAGGAAGAAAACTGGTTTAAATACATTAAGTTTTTAACTAGGCACAGACTGCTATTTTATTTCATATAATCACAAAAAATCACATTCTTATCAGTACTATGGGGTGAGATTTGTGAAATGGATGAATTGGAGCTGTCCTCTCACAATTGTCAGGCATGAAATGGATATCAGAAGTAATAAGTAACATATCTGAGAAGAAAATTAAAAGCAAGCTGATCTAATAGTTGAAATATACCCAGAAACAGGTTTTATACCCTGACAAAAGGCCAATTAGAGGTCAGCAAGATCAGTAACATTCACTGGCTGCAACCAAAGATGCTGACCAAACCAGTTGCATAAATCTCAGTCTCTACCTCTCTCCCCCTCTCTCCACCTTTATCTCTACCTGTATCTCTCTCTTTCTCTCCCCACCTCTTCTCTTTCTCTATACCGCTGTTTACTTATCCATCTGTAAAGATGTCTTTTCCCCTTGGTAATTAATAAGTAATCTATGGAGTTATACTTTGAAACTGTAAATATGCCATAGCCTGATAATTTCTCACCAGTGACTTTAGCATCCATTCATGATACTGGCTTAAATCAGTTTTTACTCTGAGAGTTACAAATGATTATTGACATTTGTCAGTTGGCATTCTTATATAGAGAAGAGCTTTTCCTCCCTTGACTTTTATTTTAATTTAGTATTGCTATAGATTCATGAATTCTTTTTTCCCCTAAATTTAATGAGTTATAATGCATTCTTGTCATTATTTACTTCACTGTCAAATTGTCCCATTGGTTTCTATCTTCTTTTGACATGTTTTTGAAAATTTCCTTAGTTTCCAGCATGGTGATCTCAGCTTATTTTATAGTTTTTATGGATCAGCCCTGGTATTAGTCATTTCTTTAAGAAGCTCAGGATTCTTATAGTAGAGAAGAGTGTTTAATACCCAAGGTGTGGACACAAAATGTGCTCCAAGGACACCAAATAGCTACTTGGTTGCTACTGCTTTCAGGTCCTTTTAGTAGACGTAATTAAGAAATAGATTTCTTCTTTTATATCATGTACTAAAAAATATTTCCATATTTAGAATCATGTTCTTAATATAGATTCCCAGAATTTGAGTGATTGGTTGAAATAGCATGAACATTTTAGTGTATTGATTCTTATTATAAACTTGTTTCTCAGAAGCTTTGATTTTGTGGGTACTTGTTTTGCTATATGTTTACCAGAATTAGATCTTAATTTTTTCTTTTTTCTAATTCTATCAAGTATATAAAAATTATATATTTTAAATTTAACTTCCTTTGATTACCAGCAAAATTTAGTGGCCTTCTAGTTATGTTTCTCTTTGGTGAATTATTTATTCTTGCCCTTTCTCTTTTAGCATTTGCAATATTTCAAGATTTTTTTCTTTTTTGGTTGTCTATTTGGCTAGGCATTGTGCATACTTAACCTGTGGACTTTTTTTCTAACTCAATAGATTTTTCCAGTGAAACACTGAGATAATTTTTTCCTAGTTAATAATTAGCAAAAAATTCTGCAGAGTGATCAAATAAAAATCAAATATGAGGTATATGAGAAATTGGTTAAACAAGTTACTTTTTTACTAATAGTGTCAAAGAATAATATAAAAACTTGATTTTCCTCAGTCACGTTACTTTCTTTTGTGAATGTGATTTCTTAAAAAATGAAACAGTTAAAACTTACAGGTTTTCTTTTCTTTTTCTTTTTGACTGAATCCTTAACCCTGCCCACAAAGCCTCAAGATGTAGGTAAGAAATTTACTTGTATATCACCTAAGGAATGACTAAGTTGGGATAATTTCTATTTTTTTAACTTTGTTTTCTTTCAACTTAATTTTTTGCTTGCTTTTTTCTTCTTCTCCCTAGTTTACATATACTTATCAGATATTGTGAACTAACCTTCCCAGATATTGTATTTTGGTGATCATATTACCCTATCTATAGACAGAGACAGTTATCACACCCAGAAAATGGTCACCGGCCTTATGGTAGTATAGGAAATGTTGCTGGGAGGCATAATTTGGATTTGAAAATATTAGTATTTCTTGCAGATGTGTATAGTGTATGGTAACAGTGGAACATTAGATATGAGTTAAGATTTTTCTGGAAACTTTGGTTGTTCAATGTATCTCCCAACTAGGTGGTAAACACCATAAGAATATGCAGGACCTTGCTTCTTCCAACTGTACAGTTTGTAAATCTCCCCAAGCCTGGCTGATGCAGTGTCAGCCTGGAGGAAAAGGTGACTTTTATATTTCTTCTGCTCAAAGGGGGAACACTTTGAACTTCATCTGTTCAGAGGTGTCTTTTTGTAATCCCTCTGGCCTGAAAGGATCGTATTTTTGTACCTCGCACCAAGGTGCTGTAAGTGTTGCCATGGCCCTGAAGACGTGGATTGTGTCTTAATTTGGTACCCCCTACAGTGTCTGCTAGTGATCCCAGTCACCAGGCTTGAAGAAAGGTGGTCATTCTTGAGTTTTCCTTATCCTTTGCCCCTGTAACAACTTACTAAAAAATCCTGTTAATTTTTGTCTCCAATATCTTTGGCATTCATGTTTTCCTTTGCACTTCCATTACTCCTACCAAAATTCATGTCCTGCTGATTTCTCAGTAGGATAATGGCAAAAGTCTCCTAATGGGCTTCTTGCCTTTTCTCCACCCCATCCATTCATTCTTCCATCCATCTAGTTGACAAATAGTCCTCGTCACTTTCTATTTGTCAGGCACTGTGGGAGATCCCAACATATCAGACATACCACTACCTGCCGGGTATTTCTTAGCATATAGAAATGATGATATTACTATTCTATATAAACATTTTCAGTGGCTCTTCATGGCTTCCATTTGGAGCCCAAATCCCTCAGCTTTATATGAAAGATATACATAATCTGGACCCAGTTTCTTTCTATCTTAGGTTCCATTATTCTTCTTTATGACCCACTTTTTCATCAGAGTGGATTAATTGACTTTCCCCAAAGACATCCCAGGATTTCTTACCTTTGTGCTTTTACTCACATCATTCTCTCCACAAAGAAATATGAGTTTCCTTATTTCTCAGCTAGCTGAAATCTTGTACATTTTTTTTCAGACTCAACTTATATGCACCTCCTCCTATATTCCTTTTCTGGTTCCTCACCCAGAGATCATAAAGCATTCCTGTCATATACTTACCCACATTACTTTAGAGCGTCATATAGATTGTACATTGTACTATAGTCATGTTCATGACTCACCTGCACTGTGAAAGTATTTAGGAACCCAAGGTCCAGGGGGAGATGTTTTAGTCATCATTGATTGTCTCATAGTATCCAGCACAGTACTTTGCAAAAGTAAGGACTCCATGAAAATAGTCTATGTGAACAAATATAAATGTGCTCTGATAAGTATATGCTCACTGGGAGGGAATCAATGATTTAAGACTAGTTCAGAGATCACTTAAATATCTGTGTCTGACTAGCACTACAATCTATTACTACTACAGCAAGCTCTGGTATCTCTTGTTGGGCACAGTTGTAGCATTATATCACTTAACAACGAAACCACATACTACTTTTCTAGTCATACATGACACTTAGTGGGGAAATGATGCTTGTATCTGACACTTGTGGCTGGGGAGCCATCAATAGTAAATCTAAAGTTTGGTCAGTGTGAGATTAATTCAAGTCAATTCAACTTAATGAATATTTTTTGAGCACGTAATCAACTGTGATTAAGATCTAATATTTGGTTCATATGATGTCTCTTCTTCATGTTAAATAGGCCAAAATTATTTTCTGCCATCAGTTATCTATTTTATACTTTATAAATTTATCACATATAGTTATTTATCGGGAAAATGTTAAAATACCAGGACATATAATAACCTGAATATCTTTGCTTTTCAGATGATGTCAGTATCACCCAGAAATTTATAGAGGATAATATTGGATATATGTGAGTTTCTCTAAACTCATTTTGATGACGATGGTGTTTACTATAAGCTTATCTGGTATCTTCCAGAATTATTAACGCTTCTCAAAAGTAATGTAAATAAATATAAACCATATCAAAAAATAAATACAGTGTTAATCATAAAATTCAGATGAGGCAATTGAATTGTCAAGAAGTTGTAAAAGTTATAGCCTTCACACTTTGATAATTTCCTGAGGTTAGTCTGCAAGTGGGTGTTCCTATGAGTTTTTGGTTGGACATAAATCGAAATTCTGCGGGTCATCATTGTGTACTCTGTGTGGACTGTTGCAGCACCATCATTGCATTTGCTCAATATATTCAGGAGGCATCCTTTGAAGAAGTAGAAATGTTGGTAAAAGCCATGACAGAATACAGAGATAAATGCTTGGCTGACATGACACTCCCAGAGTGTTCAAAATTAGCTGTAAGTAAATTGTTTGCATTTCCTAAACAAACAAGCTTATTTGTCAACACTGAGAGAATTTTTGCCTTGGAAATATAAAAAGAGAGATGCTCTATAGCCCTCACTTTTATTTTTTGATTAAAAAAAACTTTTTAAAAAAAACAACAGAAATTTATTCTCTTACAATTCTGGAGGCCAGATGCCTAAAATCGAGGTGTTGTAGGGTGCGCTCCCTGCAGAGGCTCTAGGGAAGAATCTGTTGAATGCTTTTCTCTTAACTTCTTGTGATAACCAGCAATCCTCGGCATTATTTGACTTATAATTACCTCACTCCAATCTCTGCCCCTGTCATCACATGGCCATCTTCTCTCTGAGTCTCTTCTCCTCGCCTTATAAGGACAGCAGTCACATTGGATAAGACCCTCTCAATAACTTGGTTCCATCTGCTGAGACCCTATTTTCAAATAAGGTCCCATACACAGGTATGGGGATTAGGAATTGAACATAACTTTTGGGGGGACATTTTTCAACCCACAACAATGAGTATCTGGCTAGTCTCATTACAAGATTCCAATAATGAATTCTTCCTCCACCTGAATGAATTTGGACCTTGAAGCCAACTTGGGAATAAGGAAGAGTTAGTTCAATGTACCAACATAGTGGCCAAAAGCTTATGTCTCCAGAAGGACACTAAAAAAGCTGAAACGTACAGGGGCCTGAGGAGTGCTATTTTCTGCCATCTCTACTAAATCGCCACTCAAATGTGGTTTTGGGGCAGAATGAGAGTCTCTGTTCAAAATATGTGTTTTAATTTTATCTATAACCCAGAGAAACAATTAATATAGGAACTGCTCATAGCAGAAATCATGGTGAGGGAGGTGAGTAATACAGATCTTAGATTCCTGAAAGCATCAGCTCTTGGTGTCAGGACGGAGAAATCTGGGCCCCTCATTTTAAAATTAATTAATTAATTAATTAATTATTTTGGCTGTTTTGGGTCTTCGTTGCTGCACGTGGCCTTTCTCTAGTTGCAGCGAGCGGGGGCTACTCTTCATTGCGGTGCGCGGGCTTCTCATTGCTGTGGATTCTCTTTTTGCAGAGCATGGGCTCTAGGCGCGTGGTCTTCAGTAGTTGTGGCACACGGACTTAGGTGCTCCGTGGCATGTGGGATCTTCCCAGACCAGGGATGGAACCTGTGCCCCCTGCATTGGCAGGCAGATTCTTAACCACTGTGCCACCAGGGAAGTCCCTGGGGCCCTCATTTTTATTTTGCCTGACTTTAGTATTTAGGATAAGGCACTTTCTTAGGAGATGCAATTCTGTGTAATGATGCACAGGAGGACTTGGTTATGAGCTTGCAGTCCACGCCGTAAGTATACAGGCAGGAAGACAGGAAATAGCCTGGCAAAGTAGAGGTACTTTCCTTACCTGCCTCTCTCAATATGTACTGTACTGTCACACCCCCTTTTCTTGGCCTCCTCCCAATAGAGTCACCATCTGCATCTCTAGAAGACTATTACTAAACATTACCACTAAATACTTCACCAACACATTACACTCTGGTCATGTGACCTTGGAAGAGAAGGAAAAAAGCCATTATGAAAGAGAAATGTAGGCAGTAGAGAAATAGGAAGAGGTTGAAGGGCCTCGGGATAGGATAGAGAAAACTTCCCAAAGTGTGGGATGGTTGTCAAGGGTGTGGGTAAAGATGCTCTGCTGGTAATATTGGGAAAATTTGGGAATCTCTTTTGCAAAGGGTGACACTCACCACTTATTGTCTCCATTGTGTCATCTCAGAAGGTTGAAAAATGTCATAATGAAAAAAAATGTCTTTTATTTTTCTGTTGTCCAGAATGATGTTTTACTGGAAAATATATGTACTATGGAGGGACTGCCACAAAAGCATAATTTTTCACACTGCTGCCATAAGGCTGACTTTGAAAGAAAACATTGTTTCCTCCATAATAAGAAAGCTGATGTAGGATTTTTGCCTCCTCTCCCTACTCTGGATCCTGAAGAGAAATGCCAGACTTATAAAAATAACAGAGAATCTTTTCTAAACAAGTAAGTTTAATTTTAGTAGAAAAATGATTTAATTGAAGAATTATTCTTAGGCTAAATCCAATATCTCTTCCAAAAGAACATAGCTGGGTTTCTTGATCATTTAGTTCATTCAACATGCATTTGTGTGTCAGATTCTGTGGTCATTGCTGAGGAGATGAATAAGATATGAAACCTGATTTCAAGATCCTTTCATTGTGATGTGTGTTTTCTAATGGGATGAGCCCCAGAACTGAAGGGTGTGCATGGCACCAAAGTTCTACTGGAGGAAATAATATAGTCTTTCAATGGAGAGTTATAGCTTTTACTAAGGGTAAACATTACATTAATGGATGTTTAGCAAAAATCTGTTTTCAGTAGTGTAGTAGTTGTAGAAGCAGAGACATTTTCTGGAAAGCTTAAACCACAAAGCTTGTTTGAACGTAAGTGATTATGATCTCCAAATCTTGGATGGAGTGTGTATAGGTAGCTGTTCTTTGAACCTGAAAAGGAGAGATGCTGACCATCTGGCATGATAGGGGAAGAAAAAGAATAGCCAGAGCCCTGTGTTTATGATTAGAATGGCAATCATCATTCTTCTCTGGGAGCTGGCAACTTCAGTGATACAACTTTTATTGGAGACTCGATAACGCTGCCTTCCATTGAAGCCTTCAGTAATGGGAAATCCTTCTTCCTCTCACCTTTACTTTCACAACTTGTTCTTCTTGTCTTTTTAAATCTTCTCTTTTCCTTCCCTTGTCTACCATTTATTCATTACCTTCTTGTTTTTTTCTTTCCCTCCTTCCTTCCTTTTTTCTTTTATAGTTATATCTACGAAGTTTCCAGAAGGAACCCCTTTGTTTTTGCCCCTACACTTCTTACTGCTGCTGCTCGTTTTGAGGAGATGACTAAAACATGCTGTGAAGAACAAGAAAAAGCTAACTGCTTTCGAACAAAGGTGGGTACTACATTTGTTTTCTTAAAAGGACAAGGATTCATCCCAAACTGTAGATCTTTACTTAAAATTAAATTATAGCAAAAGAGTTGTTTACCGTTTAAAAACTATTCTCTTGCCACTTTCACTGGTTTTTCAACCCATTGGCCACCTGCTACTGATCTAAATTTCTTATTACTTGAGACCCTTGAAAGACAATTGCCCATTTCTAGGGTTTCTCTTCTGGCTTTGTCTTCCTTGTGAATTGGAAGGAAATGCTAGTGAGTAAATAACCAGGGTAAAAATGACATTTTATCTTCTATCTTGGACAAGTCCTCTTTTGACTACCCATAAAACTGAATCATCCTGGTAGAGATGGACTAGCTCACAGCACTCTTCACCACTCATCTTCCCATCAAGTATAATTCAGTCATTGGGAAGACTGGCCCCACCTTTATAATAAGCCACAAATTTATATTTTGATATGTACATTTCCTGAGATAAAAACCCCATAATTTTCTGTTTCTGAGCAAAGTTTGGAATTGTTTGGTTGACATGTGGTTAAGAAATAAGAGAATAGTGGGATTTTGCTCTTGCTTCAACAGAATTTCTCTTTATCCTTCAGGCAGAAACTTTCATACAATATTTAAAAGCATTATCTTCTTATCAAAAAAATGTCTGTGGGGCACTTATGAAATTTGGACCGCAAATCTTAAAATCTATGTGAGTTTTATAATGAGTATTTTGTTTCTACTTGTATCTTCTTGTCTAAGTCCCATTTTTGTTAAATCATTGATGACTTTTTATTTATACTCTTCCTAGTTCCTCAAGGGTTTTGAGGTGGGTCTCAGTCTGGGTGGATTACTCAGACCAGGACATTAGGTCCGGATGAGAGAAGACCTGCAAGGTGGGGAGACCCCAGAGAGAAAAAGGACTACTTCTGAGTTAGTTTTTGGTTAGTTGGGAACCTGAGCAGGTCCAGGAGTTCTGAACCTGAGTTTTAAAACCTTCAAGTGCTTTAGACATGACTTATCCATCCATCTTTGACTTTAATGACTAGGAGACTACGCTCTAGGGATAAATTTTATTTTACATGCTTACCCTAGCCAACTAGCAATGATGCTAGTGCAATGTTTTGTGAAAAATTCTGAGATTTCAAATAGATCAGCAGGAAAGGATTCTGTGATGAATAACCTATACCAGCCATGGGCTTACAACAAGAAATGGTGGTCCTTAAAAGAAGTGTTTTGCTATAACAATTATGGAAGAGGGCACATCTCTCAGGCCCTTTTTTCCCCAGTCCTGATCTAGGACTCAAAATATCAACCTAGGATTTTCAAAGTGATCATGTGGGCCATGCAATGTATAAACATTGGTAAAGCCATCAGTGAAAAAACAAGGGTACCACATGCTTACTGCAGCTATCTGTACTGTATTAGCAAAGAGCTCCCTCTTGCCTTACTTGCTGTTCAAGTTGTTTTAGTGGTTTATCAATTCTATTTCCAGAAACATTGCTGTACTTAGTCAAAAATTCCCCAAGATTGAATTTAAGGAACTTATCTCCCTCCTAGAAGATGTTTCTTCCAAATATGATGGATGCTGTGAAGGGGATGTTGTGCAGTGCATCCATGGCAGGGTAAATATTCTATAAAACCAAGTAAAAATAGTGATTTTGCGGGTGGCTATTTTTTATTTTGAAGTTGCCCTAATGTGTGGCTACTCACCACAATAAAATCAGAATGTTGATAAATTGGTTGGGATTAACAGATAACACTACTATATATAAACTAGATAAACAACAAGGACCTCCTGTATAGCACAGGGAACTATATTCAATATCTTGTAATAGCCTATGATGGAAAAGAATCTGAAAAAAGAATATATATATATTCTTTTATATACATATATATTCAGTTATATATATAACTGAATCACTTTGCTGTACACCTGAAACTAATACAACATTGTAAATCACCTATACTTCAGCAAAAAATAAATTGTTAAATAATAACATAAAATGAATAAAATTAAAAATGTTAACAAATAAGACCAAATAAAACTTTGGAGCTTTTTATACATGGGATTGTTTTTAGGTTACTCAGCAGATTCTATTTTATATGGCTAAATGCACATGACATAAACTCCAGGAATTTAGAATTTGTGGACATTAATTTAGGCCAGACTAAAGTTTTCTTTAATATTGCAAATACTCTTTAGCTATATTAGAAATTAACAGTAAAGCTCAGAAAATGATTCATCTTTATGTTTTTAAGAGTTGCTTTGTCTGAGTTTCTTTAGGCTATTTAGGAACAGTCTTTCCAGATAAGTAAATATGTTAATTTAAAATAACTCTTACTCTAGTCTTTAAAGTGATTCTCTAATGACATATACTGGTAAATATATTGTTGACCTAGTTGAAGTTGTTTATGCATATGAGGGTAACACAATTTCATTAAAAATATCCCGACTTCTTAGTTGAAATTAGGCTTTTTCTTAGTGACTTTTAATTAGTCTTACTGTTTTAAATTCACAAGGAAACGTCATGTAAATTAGACAACTTGAATTTTAGAATATGAAGATATGTACATTTTATTTCAAGTAGTGGACAGTAGATATCACCAAGAATTATTTTGTCCTTAACTGTATTTCAATGAAAAGCAATCTCACTCGCTATTTACTTTTGTTTGTTTGTTTATGGGGATGTTGGTTTTATAATATTAAATTTAATGTACTGAAAAGATATGATTGAAGATTTTTCCCTGAAGTTTGGAGCTGAGACTAAGGGATCATATTATATTCTTAATATCCTTTTCTTTGATGGTTTTATGTAGAAATATGAGGAATAGAATCGTAATTTATTCAAAATAGAAATTAATTCTCAGACAGTAAGAGATGTGTTGCCTAGAACGATGATGGCCTTAGGGGAAATGTATATATGTTTGCAAAGACGGGCTCCCTGGTTCTAGGCGGTTTGCTGGAAACATGGTGCCAGCCTCCTTTCCATTTCTCACCTCAGCCTAGAGCTTCATCTCATTCCTTATCCTCAGTGTTCCCCAGAAGAAGATTCCAGGCCCGGGAACAGCTTGAGCAAAGTCAGAGAGTCTGGAATAGCCTCGTGCTTTGACAGAACTCAATGTAGTTCATGAGACGCTAGGACAGAGAGTAGGAGGAATGTACAGTCTAATTCTGGAGCGTCTGGAGAGAGGACTAGAGGCTAGACTAGCTTTTAAAAAATTATCCAACTAAGGTGTAACCAAGAGAGCTTCACCCTCTCCCTTATTCCCGTAACTTTATATGGAGGTCAGAATTGGCTAGGGAGAGTGGGGAGAGGGGAGAGAGTAGGGTTTACTATTTTGTACATTATTTGATAATTTGAACAGCTTCAGATTAATAATATCTATAGGAAAATGACAACAATGAGCAGAATATCTCCTTATGTTTGAGAAGCCTTCATCTGGTAGTTGCTGTAGTGGTTCATTAGTTTACCATTCTTTCATTCACTTATCAAATATTTCTTGAGTTTCTACTATATACCTGGCAATGTGGTTTCAGGCCATAAGAGAAGAAATCTAGGATCATAGATATTACAGTAACATGTCTTTGGTGGCCCTCATTAAAGTACAGATAAACTCTCATGGGAAAGAAACAGCATTTAGAATTTAAAATGCCGATACACCAGTGGAGTAGGGGTAAAGTATTTAAAAGATTAATACTTAACAATGAATGTAAACTTATGAGTCTATTTTTCATAACTATATCATCTAAAATCCTGAGAAATAAAGCTTGCCTTAATATGAAAGTTCATTGTATTAAATCAATACAAAATTTAATTATCTATCAAATTAGCTGATGAAACAAGGCCAGATGTTATGCACATGGTTGATTTTGCGTTGATTTCGGAAGGAAAATCCAGCCCTGACCATATTGTGAAAATAGTCATTTCCCATTCTTATTTGATACAGAGCAAGGTTATGAGCCATATTTGTTCAAAACAAGATTCCATCTCCAGCAAAATCAAAGAGTGCTGTGAAAAGAAAATACCAGAGCGCGGCGAGTGCATAATTTACTCAAATAAAGATGATAGACCAAACAACTTACCCCTAAGAGAAGCAAAGTTTACTGAAAGCGAAAATGTGTGTGAGGAACGAGATGCTGACCAAGAGAACTTCATGGCCGAGTAACATAACTCTATATTGACATTTATCAGGAAAACAGAAACTTTGGATTTGACCTATTTTGGCTAACTTGGGTGGAAGGAATAGGGATCATTTAAATCACATAAGTATTGGGTCTCACCTAATTTTAAGAGTCACGGCTATCGATTACAGTCTTTTTACATGATTTCAAGAAAATGCAACTGTGTTATGATGTGATGGCTAACATTTATTGAGTACTTGATATGTGCCAGACAATGGGCTAAGTACTTTATATGAATTATTTATTTTAATTCCCATACAGTCATGTAAAATAAGTGTGATTTCTCCCAATTTTCAGATGAGCAAACTGAGGTACAGAGAAGTTAAGTAACTTGTTCAACTTTCACAGCTAAAATATGGCAGAATAGGGATTAGACCCTAAGAGGTCGGGCCTGAGAAGTTGCAGGCTTACCTGCCATGCTCTGCCCTCCCTTGCCATCCCACCCCCTACACAGCTGCCCAGCTGTTCAGGGGAAGACTAGTTGACTTGGAGCCAAAAGGACTAGATTTGAGTCCTGGTTGAGTCAGTGGGACAAAAGTTAACCTCTCTGTATTGTAGGTAATCATATATAAAATTCATATAAGAATATTTGTTCATTCCAAATATTTTGGTTATAAAATATAATCCAGGGACTTTACTAGGTTAGACAGGGTTCTTATCCCCAGTAAGCTTTCATCAATAAGAAGTGTGATGTGAGAAGACATAGCCTCATAAATAAATGAGTGCAAGAAATGCTCTTTAATTTCTGATAGCACTAGATGATAGGTAATGTGGGGACAGGGGAGGAAGTCCCTGGGGACCCTGGAAAGGCTTGATGGGAAGGAGGTACTGGAAGAAATTTTAGTAATCTGGACAGAAGGAGTAGAGCATGGATAGAAGTGTAAAACTGCTTGGTGTATATGTGGTTGTGAATAGGGTTTCTGCAGTGAGAGAGGAGGGTAGTGAGAGGTAGATGGGTCAGATCATACAGGCATGCTAAGTAACGAGATGCCACTGAAGGGTTTTCACTGAAGAATAAGGAAGGACAAAATCACTTTTGTTTTTTAGAAACTTCATCTGGAATGAATCCCAGTTTGGGGCTTAGGTGGTTGGTAAGTAGTTTTCAGACTCAATGAGATGGGAAGTATGGGGGAATGTTTTGTGGGAAAGAGAATATGCTTGAATCTGACCACTTTGACTTTGAGGTGCCTGTGAGGTAATTAACTGGGAATGTCACGAGATAATTTAATATATGAACCTGGAATTCTGGAAGGAGGTCTGGATTGAAGATACAGGTTATTGAATACTTACCAAATTTTCAGTGCTTCTCACCTATTAACCAATTTAATTTTCAGAACGACCTTCTGAGGTTAGAACACTTTTATTATCCTCATGTTACAGGCAAGGAAACTGAGGCACAGAGGTTAAGTAACTTGCTACAAAGTCACACAACTAATATGTGGTGGAGCCAGGATTCAAATGTAACCAGTGTGGCTTCAGACTCCTGCTCTTATAACCACTGTGCTCTATTGCTTCTCATGAGTCAAATTAATCTAAATGATAGATGCAAGGTGTTTCACTTGTACCTGACATATGCTTGCTAAATGGAAGCAATTTTCGTCCTCATATTCTGCATCATCTCCATCACCATCACTATGACAACTAAAATAGTGTTTGAAGCCTGGGGAGAAATGATAGAGCAGCAATGAACATGCTGAGCCAGAAATGTTTCAGGTGCAGTTTTTCTGGATGCAAACATTTGATGCAAGACCTCAGTGGATCTGCCAGGCTAGGGTTGGCTCCCAGGGTTTTTTTTTGCAATATTTTGGTGGTGTGTTTTTAGGTGCAATTTTATTCTTGGAGAAAGGTCCACGGCTTACATGAGATATTAAGGGGAACACTTGATTCTCTGAAGGTTAAACACCACTGCTTTAGGATATGGGAATGTATCCCACAAATGGGATTGAGAAGGCAGGTGGGGAAGCAGGAGAGATGATGTCAGAAAAACCAAGAGTAATCAAGAGAAAAAGGTTGCAAACCAAAAAGAGATTATAAAACGTCCCTTGGACTTGGAGAACTCTTGTGAGGTATTGCTCTCTCAAAACATAGACCATTTTTACTTAATTTGAATGAATAAAGAAGATACTTTTATGAAGAAGTTTCTAAACAGCACAGTCGAGGTAGTTAAAGAAAACACCTCTCTTTTGAGCAGAGTCAACTTGGTTTAAACAAGAATAAAGTAGGCATCCTATGGGACCTAGGTTCAAATTTTATACTTCCATTAACAGCCAGGTGCTTAACTGGTCTGAAACTTAGTTTCCTCAGTTATAATATAGTACTTATCTTGAGGGTTAAGTGAAGTTAAATGAGAAAGTGTTTTATAAAGGGTAGGAAGCCTATCTTGTTCTCCTATGCACAAAGCTTGATCCAGTGCCTCGCACCTACTAAGGGCTTAATAAGTGTTAGCCTCTTCTCTCTCCCTTTCTCCCTTTCTCCCCAAATCACACCCACATATACTTCACCGAGGCCATGGAAACCTGCACCAATGACTTAGGGTGGCAGGAGTGATTATTCCCATATTTGACAAGTGACAGGATGAAGGAATGAGCAAAGGCTGCTCCACAATCTCTCCCTAAGTTGGCACCGGGAGTGGGGAGAAATCCATATTCCCACCATCTCAAGATGGAGGTCTGAATGCATTTTCCAACAGAATTATACTCATGTATTTTCTAAAGTATTGGTGGCATGATCTACTATTTCTGATGCTTTATGGGTTAAATCATTCTAACAATGAATGCTAAATACCTTTAATCATTCTATCCCTCCAAGTAAAAGGATTGTTAGTTTAAAACATAATATGGAAGAGAACCTTTGTAAAATGATCTCCTGTTGTCAAAATGTCCTCTTAAATCATTCCCTGACCAAACCAGAGGAGGAACTTAGCATATGAAGACAGACTCAGTGTTAGAAGATCTCTCTAGAGTAAAAGATAGCAGGATTTGGTGTTTTGCTCTATCTCGAAGTTCTAATATACAAAATATTTTACACATCGCAGGTTTCTTTATCAATACTCAAGGAGACATCCAGAACTGTCCACACCAGAGTTGTTAAGAATTGCTGGAGTGTATGAGGATCTCCTGAGAGAGTGCTGCAACACGAAAAACCCTCCAGACTGTTACAGACATGCGGTAAGTTCCATCCTAGTAGGCTCAGAGAATTAAATAAACAAAATAAAACAACAAACATTTAAAAACTATCAAAGTTTCACTCTGGTTCAGAAGGTGGAAAATGTGATTGACAAATCTGAGTCTACCTTAAATTCAGTGTAAGTTGATCATAGGGAAGACCAACATCATTGGTTTGGGTTACTCATAATGTTTTGAACTTCAAATCCTGTGTGTTGATGCAAAAAATTCTTCCCATTAAACATTTATATTGTTATTTATGTACTCTGTAGTTTCTTGGGCCAATTCAATTTTTTGTTATAGTAAAAATAATAAATGATTATTAAAGATGATTAGGAAAGTATCAAAATTTACAAAGAAAAAAAAATTTTCTGATTCTGTCACCAAGAAATAGCTATAATTAACATTTTTTCATCTTTTCTATGCATATATGCATACATTTATATGTGTGTTTAAAAATAAGATTGGAATAATACTTTCTTAAGAAATTTTTGGATCTGTTTTTATTTATTGGCATAAAAAACATTTTATGTTATTAAACAGACTTTAAAAAAATGTATTTATTTTACATGATGGTATTCCATCATAATAATTGATTTAAATGCTCTCATACTGTACGTTTGACATTTTGGACATTGATTTAACTTTTTAAAAATTTTATTTATAAGTGACCCTGAGTATCTCATTCCATTCATCATTATTAATATTTATGGTTATTTTCTTTAGACAGATTATCAGAAGGAAAATTATTAAGTCAAATTATATAGACTTTAAAATAAAAAATATTTGATACAAATGGCCAGGTTACTATCTAGAAAGTTATTAGCAGCATATAGTCCTATAACAGTGCTTGAAAATGCTCATCTTACCTCCACCTTCACCAACATTGCACATAGAAATTAACTTTGCTAAATAATGAGCATGTTTTAAAATTTTAATTAATTTTTTAATGAAGTTAAACTTTTCCCATATGATTTTAGCTACTGTAGTTATAAATTTCCTGTGGACAATTTGTTCACGTCTTTTACCCATTTTCCTGTTGAAATTAGCATTTTTTAATATCAGTTCATATGCACTTTTTGTGTATTATAGAAATTAATTATTTGTCATGTTTGATTTGTTTCTCATTCATTTGATAAGTGTTGCTTTTGCTTTACTTAAAAAATTACCTCCACTTGCCAAAAATGCCAGTTTACACCCATTCATATTTGAGCAAGAAGTAAGAAGACTTAAGCTTTATCCAGCTCTACCGCTGTCCCTAACAAGGAGGTCTGTTCCTGATCCTTAAATGAATCATAGTGCTAGAAAATTCTCTTTATTATATGGAGACACAATTCGTCCCACAGCATTCATCCACTGGTGTGTAGTTTTCTCTCTAGTGGTCACTTAGTAGATGTCCAATTTTATGCCGCGTGAGAGAGAGTTTGTCAAATATTTGAGGACAGTTATTGGAGGTTTTAAGTTCCAGTTCTAAGTGATGAAAAAGAAGATATAAAAAAGATACATGTGATTAAAAATGTTATGTAGCAATACTTATTCACTGGGTGATTCTAGGCAAGCCACTTGACTTCATAGGGCCAGATAACTTCTCTGGCCACTTCAAAGTGAGAATCAATATGATCATTGTCTGGGAATTCCCTGGTGGTCCAGTGGTTAGGACTCGGGCTTCCACTGCAGGGAACACGGGTTCGATCCCTGATCGGGGGACTAAGATCCCACATGCCGTGACGCGGCCAAAATAAATAACGAAATAAATACATACATACATAAAAAAAATAAACAGCTTGTCACCTCTTTCTAAAAAAAAAATATGATCATTGTCAACATCAGATTTGAATTTCACTTTGCGGACTGGAAATCTCTATAAGGTAATGATACCTCTACAAGGTAATGATAATGAAAAATTTGAGCTTTCAAATTTAGCAAAAACTATATCTATAAATTAAAAATTCAAATTCTTACATATATAAAAACTACCCTCAATTTAATGAGTAGTGTATGATAATTAGAGTTTGAAAATGCTATATAAGTTAAAAGAGCAATTAGACAAGTTGACTTGAAGCTTATGATTAAATTTTAGATAAAATGTTCATAAACATGATTGTTCGTATTTTCAGGAAAACAAATTCAATGAGACAACTGAGAAAAGCCTCAAGATAGTACAGCGAGAATGTGAACATTTTCAGATTTCGGGGAAGGATGACTTGAAATACCAGTAAGTTGTTTGCACAAGTAGGTTAACAATGGTGACCAGGTTAAAATAAAGAGTGCCACAAAGTGTCAAAATCTTAGCTCAGTCTTTTAGTTATGACAAGTTCATAAACTCTGGGAAAGAATAAAAACACAAAAGTCAAGAAGGCACATTGAGCTGTCATATTAAGCCTTTACCAGAAATGAGGCTAGAAATTGAAGACATACAGGATTCTGGACAAACTGATTCTCTAATGCATTAGTTTTTGTTTGGACTACCTTTCTCACTCTCAGCCCAGAATTTCTGGATTTTACCCTGTTTCAGGGGTGTGGGGTGGGATGGAGAAAACTTCATGTTGTTATAATTTCCCAAGGAAGAATTATTTAAGGAAATAATTCTTATTGAGTAAAAAAAAATAATTCTGGATTTACTTAACACTTTACTATTCATTTTTAAGTATTCTTGTGAGCATTCATGAATAATATGAAGTTTGTTCTGGATTTTCTTAATTAATTACCATGCTAACGTATTGCGTGTTGAAACCAAACATCTTCAAGTCACAACAAAACACAGTTTAAAAAATATATTTTCACTATTTCTGCAATTGGGCTGTTATCTGAAAACTCAGCCCATTAAATATCTTTGTTTCCTCCATCTCAGATTATCCTTTTCCAACATGTATCTCTTAAATTTTCCCTTTGAAATATTTATTAACTGCTCAAGGGATCTCAAGCAGGATTTTACATACTAGCTAAGATATTTTCTACCAAGGAGCTCCTATACTCACAGGTGAAGAAGGATGGGCAAATCTGAGAGTTTCTGAATTATCATGAAATTAGAAGGAAACCGAAATACAGGGATCTAGGAGGCAGGGTGCAGGAAAACAGGAAGTGAAGAGACTGTTCTCTACCACTTTATGAGAGAGCTGAGCTTCATGTTGCCCTTACGTTGGTTGTCCCTAGCCTGGCAGGGTTGGGGCTTCAGGGGGCTAGACAAGGGAAAATGGGTACCTGCTTTTGTTCAGAACAAACAGACAAATGTTCTTTCAGCTACCTCATCAATCTCACAAAACTAGCCCCCCAGCTCTCCACTGAAGAACTGACCTTTCTTGGCAAGGAAATGGTGACAGCTTTGACCACCTGCTGCACACTGAGTGAAGAGTTTGCCTGCGTTGATAATTTGGTGAGCCTGGCCCATGTGCCTGACTATTCCTAAAAGAAAAAACAAAAAAAGGATGCTTTTGCACTCATTCATTTATAGTGATTATCCGTCTTCCTCTCTTCATTGTTTTCAAGTTTGTTAAGCAAGGAAGGTCAAGTTTTATTTTTGGCTTACTGTGTCAAAATCCTGAGAAGCAAAAGAGAAGTCTTAAATATTTGCTTGGGGTTCTCCAAATCATCTTTATTACTTCTTATTTATATTAGAAGCAATTTGTTAGAGCAAACCACTTGGAATCATAGAATTATTTCAGAATGATAGAGAAAATTTCATAATCTTAAGTAACGGGATAGATTCTCTCTCTTGTCCCACCAGGTCAGTAAGAGAATTGCTGTTTCCAGCCCAGTTCGGGTTGGGTGCACCTTTTTAGGCCTGGGGTGGACAGTACGTGGGGGACATCCCAGAAGGGGACTAAAACTAAGGGCCACAGTGTCCTAATGCCATTTTCAGTTGGCTGTTTGCAGCTCTCTGCTCAAAATCACAAATTTGTATATATGTTAACAAGAATTAATCTCTAGACATTTAAATTGCTATGGCTTGCATTTTTGTTATAATGTCATTTAGGACACCAGCCTCTACTTTTCTTTGCACGTCGTTTCATGTTACAAGTGCATGAGTTTTTCTAAGTTGACAGTGATACTAGCACAAACTAACAATTCATCTAGCTGTATTTCAAAACTCCATTGCAACTTTCATTGGTATAGGTGGACTTAGTTCTTGGAGAGTTATGTGGAATAAATGAAAATCGAAGTATCAACCCTGCTGTGGACCACTGTTGTAAAACAAACTTTGCCTTCAGAAGGTCCTGCTTTGAGGGCTTGGAAGCCGATAAGACGTATGTGCCTCCATCTACCTCTCAAGGTTTATTTACCTTTCACACAGACTTGTGTCAGGCTCATAATGAGGAGCTCCAGAGAAAGAAAGACAGGTACAGACATTCTCTACTGTTCACCTTTTTCTTCAGCCGGAAGACATAGCATGTATTAATGAGAAGTTTTATTGTAATGGATATGTGATTTTTGGTGTTATAATCCTGTTCTTTCTGTCACACTGTCCAGTCTGCCCAATTGTAAGTTAAAACCTAGCTAGTCTTTTCCTTTGCTAGAGCCTTGGAGGGTCCAAAAGACTGTGATTTGGAAAGGTGGGTGAGAGTAGCCATAAAAATGCTCCTAGAAGGGTCAAAATGAATCAGATTTTCTTGAGAGCATGTCATAGATGTTTGCTCTGAGAATCTCTCTTAATGTTTGCAGATAAGAGAGGCCCAAAAGGAACAGGAATTTTGCTTTTGTTTTCTCAGGCAATGCTATAAATGCCAAGGAATCAGATATTTTTTCTTTTTTTTTAGATTAAGCAGTGTCTGTATCAAGTGGAGTGGAAACAGAATTCAGTTATTGAGGAAGGGGGAATAGATGTTGCTTTGGACATGAATTTTCTAGAGACATCAAATGTAGTCACATAGTCTACAATATTGTGCATATTGAAGACTTACTATATGTTCCCATATTTTATACAATTTCATCCATGGTTACATAGCTCTCCAAAGATTGTTATAATGGAATCCATCCCATGTGTTTAACAGGAAAGTTTCAGGACATCCTTTCAAAAGTGGAATATTTTAACTTTTTACATTCACCCAAATGGAGATTCCTAAGACATATGATTCTATAACTAGCCTTTTGGAGAAGAGGGCTGCAGAAAGAAATCGTTAATTAATTCTGTTTGACTCACTGGGTCACAGGTTTCTTGTCAACTTAGTGAAACTGAAGCCTGAACTTACAAGGGTGGAGCTGCAGTCATTGCTGGTGGATTTCACGAATGTGGTGAAGAAGTGCTGCCAGGCCCAGGGGCCTGAAGCCTGCTTCAAGGAGGAGGTACTTCCAGCTCTTTTCCCCCTGAAATCCAACTGGTATTCCTGGTCAAACAAAAGAAACCAGAACTCCCCTTAGGACCCCCCTTCCTCCCTGCAATGTCTCCCAGGCTGAGGCCTGAGAGCACAATCGCTACACAACTAAATATGCAGACGTCTCTCTGACAGGGTTTTGGCACCATCTCCTTGGTGACGACATGGTGTAAGAAAAGGCATCAGGAAATCATAGGTTCTATGCTGGCAGTCGTGGTCATGTCACTTAATCTGAACTGCGGTTCATCTTCTTTAAATGAGGATGGTAATAATTATCCTTGAATTATACCATCCAGTTGGTTAATAAATCGTTAATCTGACTTGCAAAGGAGATCATATCAGTCTCAAAGAGAGGGGAACAGGAAGGACATCAGGAAGTGATGAGGTCTTTCAGGGGGTGGCTGTGTCACCTTCCTGGCCTTTGTCCCAACATCCCCTGCTAGAGAATACCTGTGTGTGAAGTGAGGAGGTGGCAGAGAAGATGAGAGGAGATGTGTCCCCTGCTGGTTCGTGTTCCAGGAGCCTCAGGCACCTGTGAGTGTCAGCCCCAGTGGATGCTCCTTGGAAGTACCTTGCTCACTGTTTCTTTCCTAGCGACACCCACTCCCCTCCAGACTCACTCACAACTCGTGCACACACACGTACTTCATTCACACTCACAGGCACACACACACACACACACAGAGCTTTCATTCTGGTTGAGAGCCCTCTGTTTTTCTGAGTGACTGCTTAATCTGGGAATTTTTTTTGGCACAAACTACTAGTTTTTTGAAAAACATGCTTGATTTCATTAGAGGGTATTAGTGTCATTTAGCATTTATCCGGGTGACTGTATGTATTGAGACCACATAAAGGGAGAGATGAATTCGCTGGCAGTTTGTAAAAGGCTGGGGTGTCTGTTTCCAAGATCACCAGAAGAAATTGTTCATTGTCTCCTGTACAACACGGGAGTGGTTTAACTTTTCTTTACAAAGCTCAAGACAATATGCTTCTCTAAATTCAAATAATAATGTCTTAAATTTTTCTTTCCATTTTTTTTATTGGAGTACAGCTGCTGCACAGTATTATATAAGTTACAGGTCTATAATATAGTGAGTCACAATTTTTAAAAGTTATGTTCCATTTATAGTTATTGTGGAATACTGACGATCTTCCCCATGTTGTATAATATATCCTTATAGATTATTTTGTACTTAATAGTTTGTACTTCTTAATCCCCTACCCCTATATTTCCCCTCCCCCCTTCCCTCTCCCTATAGGTAACCACTAATTTGTTCTCTATATCTGTGAGTCTGCTTGTTTTTTGTTATATTCACTAGTTTGTTGTATTTTTTAGATTTCACATATGCGTATATCATACAGTATTTGTCTTTGTCTGACGTATTTCACTAAGCATAATGCCTTCCAGGTCCATTCTTATTGTTGCAAATGGCAAAATTTCATTCTTTTTTTTAATCTCTGAGTAGTATTGTATTGTATATATGGGCCACATCTTCTTTATCCATTCATCTGTCGATGGACACTTAGGTTGCTTCCATAGCTTGGCAATTGTAAATAATGCTGATATGAATGAACATTGGGATGCATGTATCTTTTCAAATTAGTGCTTCTTTTTTTGGACACATATCCAGGAATAGCATCACTGGGTTGTATGGTAGTTCTATTTTCAGTTTTTGGAAACCCTCATACACTGTTGGTGGGAATGTAAATTGGTGCAGCCACAGTGGAAAACAGTATGGAGGTTTCTCAGAAGTCTTCCTATGTGTTTTTATTTCTCTTTTTTTTTTCTCTCTCAGGGTCCAAAATTGTCAGCCAAAAGTCAGGTTGCTTGAAAAACATCAAGTAAAATTCACCAAAGGTAATAACTTGTATCTCAATCAAAGGCTAAATGTATTGGTAACTTATTTGGTCGTTTTGGCTTTTCCCTTCTCATGCTTCAATGTCAATTTCTGGCTCATCCCCCATGCCTTACAGCTAACAGACCCCAGTACTTGTCCTGTAATGTTTCTCTGAGTATCATTCACTCCTTACGGGATGGCACAGCTGCATTTGTGCTAGCACACTCTTACTGTCCCAGCAGTTTTCTGAATATTTAAAGGTATCCACTCTTCTGCCCTTCTGCTACTACAGTCAGATATCTGGACCAGAAAGGAAAGGCAACAGAATCTATGAATGTTGACAGGGAGAGCAGGGGGTTGGGATGGGCAGACAGGCCTCAGTAAACTGTTCTAAGAGTCTCTTGCTTCAGTATTTACATAAAAGAAAAGTGATATGTTAGGGATTTCAAAAATGTGTATAAAGGATCTCTTCTTCCCTGCAGTTTGTGTAAGACAAATTCACAAACTTTAGGAACAAAATGTTGAGTAGATATAGCAAGGATGTTCAGTGTCCAGGAAGAGAGACCTGGACCTCCACAGGGAGTGGGTTTGGATCTATGAAAGGCAAAACATAGTTACCACTAACAGTTTTTTTTATGTACATGAATTTCCATCACTCAAGTTATAACATTTCGTATTCTTTTGCTGCACAAGATTCTATTTTTCTTTCCAGGTTTCAGAGGAAAGAGAGGAAGACCAGCATACCTGCTTCCTATCTGTCCTGTGGTGAATTTCGTTTTCTGAGAACACAGTAAAAAGATTCTTCTGTAATCATTATCTGAGATCATGTTATTGCAGCAAGCAATAAACAACAACATTATAAAGTTATTTCTCAAAGACTAATTGTCATGTGTCAACTTGTTAACCAAATTAAACAATCAAGAGTCATTCATTCCATCAGGATCTTTGGCTCATTGGTTAAATCTACTACTTTATGGAAGACAGGACTCTGAAATAGCAATTGTGAGGGCAGAATCCTCACAGATTCTGTTCTTGATGCTACTGGGAAGAAAATGGGGAGTTGTGGGCATGCAGCATGACCTTTACTACTACAACTACTATTACTGCTACTACTGTTATTACTAGCTGGGATTGAATGTTTTCAATGCAAAAACATTGTTGGAGGTACTTCTAATGCATTACCTCATTTAACTGTAACAACTCTATCAAGTAAACCTTTTTTATTCCCATTTTACAGATAGGGAACCTGAGGCTTGGGGATATAAACAAATCTGTTCAATGTCATATGACTAGTATTGCCAGAACCAAGGTTTGAATTTGAGCCCTCTAATTTCAGAAGAATATTCTTAGCCACTCTACACACTGCCTGTGCACGGCCGTGTTGTGGGTGTCTTATAAAATCTGTTATTCAGAGAAGGGGAAAAGTGCCCAAGGCATCTGTGACAGTGACTCTTTTCTCCCTGCATCCCCACTCCACACCAAAATTGCTATTATGCTGGAGCTGTAAGCTTGGCAGTGACGTCTAAGGAGAGGGAGTGGTAGGAACTGGGAAGCCAGGAAATGAAGGTTCGTCATGGGATCATGGCTTGATGATCCTGGCTGTTCTCTAAACTTTTAAGGTTTTTAGTATTTCAGTGTCTGAAATGAAAGATTATGACCATCGAAGAGATAACACATGAAAATATTCAGAGTTCTTTTGGTTTAACATTTAGAGCATAGTGTTTGGGATTTTCATTCATTTATCAACAAATATTTATTCGATCCTACGGTGTGTCAGACATTGTGGATGCAAATATGAGGCAATTAGACATGGTTCTTAAGTCCTGCTGGGCAGGGAGAAGGACAGTAAGCAATTGCATAGAGTGTCATAGGTGCAGGATGGAAACAGCCGCTGCTGTGGGAGCACATAGCACCCGCACTCAGTCTAAGCTGAAGATGCAGGCGGGCGGGGAGCGGGGGCATTATATTCCTTCTGCCAGTAACTTGCTGTATGCCCTCAGACACAAGAACCTTACGATTTAAGACTCCCATTTCTTGGTGTAGGGTGAAAGAATAATCCCCACGTCACAAAGGCTTTAGAGAAATGTATTAAATTACTATATAAAGTATCCAATACAATGCCCAGCAGATAATAGGTGTTTAATTCATGAAGCTATTTTGTCCTTTTACCACTTTTCCAAGCACTCTTGTTTATTAACAAGGATAGTAAGGAAGAAAATTTTACTTAAATAATAAGTTCATCAAACAGAAGTGAAACAGAGCATAGTTTGCTAATTCAATTTTGCACCTAGTAGTGGATTCTGCTATGTGTCCAGTGCTATCTTAAGAGCAGCAGATATGAAACCAGAGACTCAGGAAACTCTGCCATCACAAGACTCTATTATCACAGAGGAAATTGCCCTGCAACTCTCTCCACTGATGTGCCAGAGAACACACTGATAGAAGGCGGGTAACCCGTGTGATGTGAAGAAAGGAAGGAGAGGAATGTTTTATTCAGAAGTCGTGTTTTTCCTGGAGAAGAGAGGATTTGGAAAAAGGGCAAGTCACACTTACTCTATCGCTCAGACAGAATCCATCCCAATGAAGAGAACATACCTGGACTCACTCGATGCAGGAAGACTTTTCTAGCACTGGAGAGTTTTGGAGATGTGATCAGCCTCGGGTGCCGTAATGAGGGCCAAGACTGAAGGTGCGCGAGCCATCACCACCCAGGTTTTTGGTGGGATCCAGCCTTGCTCTTTCTAACTCTGTTTCTATGATTTGGACTAGAATTAGGTTTCCTGTAAAAATAATATTTATTAAAAATCATCATTGTGTCCTGTACTCGGACACCTTCCATTTTTGATCTTAAAGGTCAGCATGGAGATCTTCCTCTCTTAGAGAACAAATTCTGTGCTGTCTTTTGAATTCTTTCACAAAACCCATTCCCTTACCTTTGCTTAAATAATCTCCACAGCTTGTCTTTCCTCTGGTCTAAAATTCTGTTACTAATTACTAATAAAGAACTTAACTTTTTTTTATTTCTTCAAGAATCTCTTACTGTGAAAGAAGGATTACCATGAGAAATTAATTTTGTCCAAAATTTTTAAAAAGAGGAATTAGTTTAGCACACATACAACAGTTTTTTTTTTCTTTAAGTGACAGTTACAATCAATTAATAGTGGCTGTAATGAGGCATTGTGCCATGAATGATTCTAAGGCTAGTCTAGGTTCAGAGAAAAAGAGTACAGTGATCAATTAGTAATGTCTGCAATGGGTGACAGTCTGGCAGCACTCATCCAAAGGATTTGCTATCCCTAGAGCAATAGGTCCATTTCTGATCGTCCCAGGAGGCTTAGAGTAAGATCTCAAGGGAACAGCTCTAAAGATGCAAGACAGAAAGAGATGCTGAGCATTAGGACTGTTTAGAGGACCCCGAAAACCTACCACACAGGGCCATCCATATTCTTTACCATAAGCCAGTGTGTCCCAAATCTAAATAACAGATTTGTTGTTGTTGTTGTTTTGCAGGCAAATATATCTGTCTCACTTGTGGTATTTCTTCGCCTAGGAAACCAGAAATGAGAATATGTGGGTAGAAGAATCAAGCAATGGACTGCCAGCTGTAAAGATTATCCGGTCCAAACACTCCATCTATAAATGAGGAAACTGAGGACAGGAATGGTTAAAGTATTAACCAGTGATCTTCCATTTCCAAAACTTCTAGTCTTTACATTTAGCTTAAACCTTTTTTTTTAACATATTTATTGGAGTATAATTGCTTTACAATTGTGTGTTAGTTTCTGCTGTATAACAAAGTAAATCAGCTATACATATACATATATCCTCATATCTCTTCCCTCTTGCCTCTCCCTCCCTCCCACCCTCCCTATCCCACCCCTCTAGGTGGTCACAAAGCACCGAGCTAATCTCCCTGTGCTATGCGGCTGCTTCCCACTAGCTATTTTACACTTGGTAGTGTATATATGTCCATGCCACTCTCTCACTTTGTCCCTAGCTTAAACATTTTATTTAATTAGTAATCAACTGTGTCCCGCCCTAGACCCAAGACTGGATGATTGGCAAAACAGAAAATAGCTGAGGGATGTTGGGACCTCAGCTGTTAATACTAGCTCTTGGTTGTTGTGGGCTCTGACATCAGACAGACCTGAAGTTCTACCTGTGAGTCCATGAGCAAATTATATGACCCTGAGTCTTAATTTATTGTTCAAGAAATAAGAATATGGCTATCTAAATATAATCATACAAAGTGCCAGACTCACAGCAAGCACTCAGTAAATTAGGTCACATTCCTTTGGGTTTGCTCCCAAGATCTATGCTCCCCACTCTCTCCAGCGACCTAAAAATGTGCCCAGCACTGGAACTCAGGCCTTCACCATTTATTTGAATCTGGGAGAGTACATGTTTACCTGATCTCCTGGCATTTTCGAACTTTGTACACGTCAACAAACATTTCTAGGAAATGAGATATTTACCAAAAGTGTTTATTGATTATTTTATTCCAAGGTCTATGTGGTGTAATCTTGAAAAAAACAGGTAGATTGACATGACTCATTTTATTTTATTTATTTATTTTTTAACATCTTTATTGGAGTATAATTGCTTTACAATGGTGTGTTAGTTTCTGCTTTATAACAAAGTGAATCAGTTGTACACATACATATGTCCCCATATCTCTTCCCTCTTGCGTCGCCCTCCCTCCCACCCTCACTATCCTACCTCTCTAGGTGGTCACAAAGCACCGAGCTGAACTCCCTGTGCTATGCGGTTGCTTCCCACTAGCTACCTATTTTTTACGTTTGGTAGTGTATATATGTCCATGCCACTCTCGCACTTGGTGCCAGCTTACCCTTCCCCCTCCCCATATCCTCAAGTCCATTTTCTAGTAGGTCTGCGTCTTTATTCCTGTCTTGCCCCTAGGTTCCTCATGACCTTTTTTTTTTTTTTTAGATTCAATATATATGTGTTAGCATACGGTATTTGTTTTTCTCTTTCTGACTTACTTCACTCTGTAGAACAGACTCTAGGTCCATCCACCTCACTACGAATGTCTAAATTTCGATTCTTTTTATGGCTGAGTAATATTCCATTGTATATATGTGCCACATCTTCTTTATCCATTCATCTGTTGATGGACACTTAGGTTGCTTCCATGTCCTGGCTATTGTAAATAGAGCTGCAATGAACATTTTGGTACATGACTCTTTTTGAATTATGGTTTTCTCAGGGTATATGCCCAGTAGTGGGATTGCTGGGTCATATGGTAGTTCTATTTTTAGTTTTTTAAGGAACCTCCATAATGTTCTCCATAGTGGCTGTATCAATTTACATTCCCACAAACAGTGCAAGAGTGTTCCCTTTTCTCCACACCCTCTCCAGCATTTATTGTTTGTAGATTTTTTGATGATGGCCATTTTGACTGGTGTGAGATAATATCTTATTGTAGTTTTGATTTGCCTTTCTCTAATGATTAATGATGTTGAGCATTCTTTCATGTGTTTGTTGGCAATCTGTATATCTTCTTTGGAGAAATGTTTATTTAGGTCTTCTGCCCATTTTTGGATTGGGTTGTTTGTTTTTTTGATATTCAGCTGCATGAGCTGCTCGTAAAGTTTGGAGATTAATCCTTTGTCAGCTGCTTCATTTGCAAATATGTCCTCCCATGCTGAGGGTTGTCTTTTGGTCTTGTTTATGGTTTCCTTTGCTGTGCAAAAGCTTTTAAGTTTCATTAGGTCCCATTTGTTTATTTTTACTTCCATTTCTCTAGGAGGTGGGTCAAAAAGGATCTTGCTGTGATTTATGTCATAGAGTGTTCTGCCTATGTTTTCCCCTAAGAGTTTTATAGTGTCTGGCCTTCCATTTAGGTCTGTGATCCATTTTGAGTTTATTTTTGTGTATGGTGTTAGGGAGTGTTCTAATTTCATTCTTTTACATGTAGCTGTCCAGTTTTCCCAGCACCACTTATTGAAGAGGCTGTCTTTTTTCCACTGTATATTCTTGCCTCCTTTATCAAACATAAGGTGGCCATATGTGCGTGGGTTTATCTCTGGGCTTTCTATCCTGTTCCATTGATCTATATTTCTGTTTTTGTGCCAGTACCATACTGTCCTGATTACTGTAGCTTTGCAGTATAGTCTGAAGTCAGGGAGCCTGATTCCTCCAGCTCCGTTTTTCGTTCTCAAGATTGCTTTGGCTATTTGGGGTCTTTTGTGTTTCCATACAAATTGTGAAATTTTTTGTTCTAGTTCTGTGAAAAATGCCAGTGGTAGTTTGATAGGGATTGCATTGAATCTGTAGATTGCTTTGGGTAGTAGAGTCATTTTCACAATGTTGATTCTTCCAATCCAAGAACATGGTATATCTCTCCATCTATTTGTATCATCTTTAATTTCTTTCATCAGTGTCTTATAATTTTCTGCATACAGGTCTTTTGTCTCCTTAGGTAGGTTTATTCCTAGATATTTTATTCTTTTTGTTGCAATGGTAATTGGGAGTGTTTTCTTAATTTCACTTTCAGATTTTTCATCATTAGTGTATAGGAATGCCAGAGATTTCTGTGCATTAATTTTGTATCCTGCTACTTTACCAAATTCATTGATTAGCTCTAGTAGTTTTCTGGTAGCATCTTTAGGATTATCTATGTAGAGTATCATGTTGTTTGCAAACAGTGACAGCTTTACTTCTTTTCTGATTTGGATTCCTTTTATTTCTTTTTCTTCTCTCATTGCTGTGGCTAAAACTTCCAAACCTATGTTGAATAATAGTGGTGAGAGTGGGCAACCTTGTCTTGTTCCTGATCTTAGTGGAAATGGTTTCAGTTTTTCACCATTGAGGATGATGTTGGCTGTGGGTTTGTCATATATGGCCTTTATTATGTTGAGAAAGTTCCCTCTATGCCTACTTTCTGGAGAGTTTTTATCATAAATGGGTGTTGAATTTTGTCGAAGATTTTTCTGCATCTATTGAGATGATCCTATGGTTTTTCTCCTTCAACTTGTTAATATGGTGCATCACATTGATTGATTTGAATATATTGAAAAATCCTTGCATTCCTGGGATAAACCCCACTTGATCATGGTGTATGATCCTTTTAATGTGCTCTTGGATTATGTTTGCTAGTATTCTGTTGAGGATGTTTGCATCTATGTTCATCAGTGATATTGGCCTGTAGCTTTCTTTCTTTGTGACATCTTTGTCTGGTTTTGGTATTGGGGTGATGGTGGCCTTGTAGAATGAGTTTCGGAGTGTTTCTCCCTCTGCTATATTTTAGAAGAGTTTGAGAAGGACAGCTGTTATCTCTTCTCTAAATGTTTGATAGAATTCGCCTGTGAAGTCATCTGGTCCTGGGCTTTTGTTTGTTGGAAGATTTTTAATCACAGATTCAGTTTCAGTGCTTGTGATTGGTCCATTCATATTTTCTATTTCTTCCTGGTTCAGTCTTGGAAGGTTGTGCATTTCTAAGAACTTGTCCATTTCTTCCAGCTTGTCCATTTTATTGGCGTAGAGTTGCTTGTAGTAATCTCTCACGATCCTTTGTATTTCTGCAGTGTCAGTTGTTACTTCTTTTTCATTTCTAATTCTATTGATTTGAGTCTTCTTCCTTCTTTTCTTAATAAGTCTGGCTAATGGTTCATCAACTTTATGTTCTCAAAGAACTAGCTTTTAGTTTTATTGATTTTTGTTATCATTTGCTTCATTTCTTTTTCATTTATTTCTTATCTGATCTTTATGATTTCTTTCTTTCTGCTAACTTTGGGAACTTTTTGTTCTTTCTCTAATTGCTTTAGGTATAAGGTTAGGTTGTTTATTTGAGATGTGTCTTGTTTCTTAATGTAGGATTGTATTGCTATAAACTTCCCTCTTAGAACTGCTTTTGCTGCATCCCGTAGGTTTTGACTTGTCGTGTTTTCATTGTCATTTGTTTCTAGGTATTTTTTGATTTCTTCTTTGATTTCTTCAGTGATCTCTTGGTTATTAAGTAGTGTGTTGTTTAGCCTCCATGTGTTTGTATGTTTTACAGATTATTTCCTGTAATTGATATCTAGTCTCATAGCATTGTGGTCGGAAAAGATACTTGATACGATTTCAATTTTATTAAATTTACCAAGGCTTTATTTGTGACCCAAGATATGATCTATCCTGGAGAATGTTCCATGAGCACCTGAGAAGAATGTGCATTCTGCTGTTTTTGGATGGAATGTCCTATAAATATCAATCAAGTCCATCTTGTTTAATGTAGCATTTGAAGCTTGTGCTTCCTTATTTATTTTCATTTTGGATGATCTGTCCATTGGTGAAAGTGGGGTGTTAAAGTCCCCTACTATGATTGTGTTACTGTCGATTTCCCCTCTTATGGCTGTTAGTATTTGCCTTATGTATTGAGGTGCTCCTATGTTGAGTGCATAAATATTTACAATTGTTATATCTTCTTCTTGGATTGATCCCTTGATCATCATGTAGTGTCCTTCTTTGCCTCTTGTAACAGTCTTTATTTTAAAGTCTGTTTTGTCTGATATGAGAATTGCTACTGCAGCTTTCTTTTGATTTCCATTTGCATGGAATATCTTTTTCCATCCCCTCATTTTCAGTCTGTATGTGTCCCTAGGTCTGAAGTGGGTCTTTTGTAGACAGCATATACACGGGTCTTGTTTTTGCATCCATTCAGCCAATCTATGTCTTTTGCTTGGAGCATTTAATCCATTTACATTTAAGGTAGTTATCGATATGTATTTTCCTATTACCATTTTCTTAATTGTTTTGGGTTTGTTATTGTAGGTCTTTTCCTTCTTTTGAGTTTCCTGCCTAAAGAAGTTCCTTTAGCATTTGTTGTAAAGCTGGTTTGATGGTGCTGAATTCTCTTAGCTTTTGCTTGTCTCTAAGGGTTTTAATTTCTACTTCAAATCTGAATGAGATCCTTGCTGAGTAGAGTAATCTTGGTTGTAGGTTTTTCTCCTTTATCACTTTAAATATGTCCTGCCACTCCCTTCTGGCTTGCAGAGTTTCTGCTGAAAGATCAACTGTTAACCTTATGGGAATTCTCTTGTGTGTTATTTGTTGTTTTTCCCTTGGTGCTTTTAATATTTTTTGTTTGTATTTAATTTTTGATAGTTTGATTAATATGTGTCTTGGCATGTTTCTCCTTGGATTTATCCTGTATGGGACTCTCTGCTCTTCCTGGACTTGATTATTTCCTTTCCCATATTTAGGAAGTTTTCAACTCTAATCTCTTCAAATATTTTCCCAGTCCCCTTCTTTTTCTCTTCCTCTGGGACCCCCTATAATTCGAATGTTGGTGCGTTTAATGCTGTCCCAGAAGTCTCTGAGACTGTACTCAATTCTTTTCATTCTTTTTTCTTTATTCTGCTCTGCAGTAGTTATTTTCATTATTTTATCTTCCAGGTCACTTATCCGTTCTTCTGCCTCAGTTATTCTACTATTGATCCCTTCTACAGAATTTTTAATTTCAGTTATTGTGTTGTTCATCACTGTTTGTTTGCTCTTTAGTTCTCCTAGGTCCTTGTTAAAAGTTTCTTGTATTTTCTCCATTCTATATCCAAGATATTGGATCATCTTTACCATCATTATTCTGAATTCTTTTTCAGGGAGACTGCCTATTTCCTCTTCATTTGTTAGGCCTGGTGGTTTTTGCTTTGCTCCTTCATCTGCTGTGTGTTTCTCTGTCTTCTCATTTTGCTTAACTTACTGTGTTTAGGGTCTCCTTTTCACAGCCTGCAGGTTTGTAGTTCCTGTTGTTTTTGGTGTCTGTCCCCAGTGGCTAAGGTTGGTTCAGTGGGTTGTGTAGGCTTCCTGGTGGAGGGGACTAGTGCCTGTGTTCTGGTGTATGAGGCTGGATCTTGTCTTTCTGGTGGGAAGGTACACATCTGGTGGTGTGGTTTGGGGTGTCTGTGGCCGTATTATTATTTTAGGCAGCCTCTGTGCTAATGGATGGGGTTGTGTTCCTGTCTTGCTAGTTGTTTGGCATAGGATGTCTAGCACTGTAGCTTGTTGGTCATTGAGTGGAGCTGGGTCTTGGTGTTGAGATGGAGATCTCTGGGAGATTTTCGCCATTTGATATTGGAGGTCTCTTGTGGTCCAGTGTCCTGAAGTTGGCTCTCCCACCTCAGAGGCACAGCCCTGAGGCCTGGCTGGAGCACCAAGAGCCTGTCATCCACACGGCTCAGAATAAAAGGGAGGAAAAAAAAAGGAAAGAAAGAAGAAAACAAAATAAAATAAAGTTAGTAAAAGAAAATATAATTATATTAAGAAAAAAATTTCTTTTTGTAGAAAAAAATTTTTTAAATAATAAAAAAAATTTAAAACACAGACAGAACCCTAGGACAAATGGTAAAAGCAAAGCTACACAGACAAAACCACACACAGAAGCATACACATGCACGCTCACAAAAAGAGAAAAAGGGGAAAAAAAAAATATATCGTTGCTCCCAAAGTCCACCTCTTCAATTTAGGATGATTCCTTGTCTATTCAGGTATTGCACAGACGCAGGGTACATCAAGTTGATTGTGGAGATTTAATCCGCTGCTCCTGAGGCTGCTGGGAGAGATTTCCCTTTCTCTTCTTTCTTCGCACAGCTCCCGGGGTTCAGCTCTGGGTTTGGCTGCGCCTCTGCATGTAGGTCGCCTGAGGGCATCTGTTCTTCGCTCAGACAGGACGGGGTTAAAGGAGCAGCTGCTTCAGGGGCTCTGACTCACTGAGGTCGGTGGGGAGGGAGGGGTACAGAGTTCGGGGCAAGCCTGCATCGGCAGAGGCCGGCGTGACATTGCACCAGCCTGAGGCGCACCGTGCGTTCTCGCGGGAAGGTTGTCCCTGGATCACGGGACCCTGGCAGTGGCGGGCTGCACAGGCTCCCTGGAGGGGAGGTGTGGAGAGTGACCTGTCTTCCCACACAGGCTTCTTGCTGGTGGCAGCAGTGGCCTTAGCGTCTCATGCCCGTCTCTGCGTAAAGCGCTGATAGCCGCGGCTCACGCCCGTCTCTGGAGCTCCTTTAAGCAGCACTCTTAATCCCCTCTCCTCGCGCACCCGGAAACAAAGGGAAGAAAAAGTCTCTTGCCTCTTCGGCAGGTCCAGACTTTTTCCCGGACTCCCCTCCGGCTAGCTGTGGCGCACTAACCCCTGCAGGCTGTGTTCACGCCGCCAACCCCAGTCCTCTCCCTGTGCTCCGACCGAAGCCTGAGCCTCAGCTCGCAGCCCCGCCCGCCCCGGTGGGTGAGCAGACAAGCCTCTCGGGCTGGTGAGTGCCGGTCGGCACCGATCCTCTGTGCGGGAATCTCTCCGCTTTGCCCTCCGCACCCCTGTTGCTGCGCTCTCCTCCGTGGCTCCGAAGCTTCCCCCCTCCGCCACCCACAGTCTCCGCCCGCGGAGAGACTTCCTAGTGTGTGGAAAGCTTTCCTCCTTCACAGCTCCCTCCCACTGGTGCGGGTCCTGTCCCTATTCTTTGTCTCTGTTTATTCATTTTTCTTTTGCCCTACCCAGGTACGTGGGGGGGTTCTTGCCTTTTGGGAGGTCTGAGGTCTTCTGCCAGCGTTCAGTAGGTGTTCTGTAGGAGTTGTTCCACGTGTAGATGTATTTCTGGTGTATCTGTGGGGAGGAAGGTGATCTCCGCGTCTCACTCTTCCGCCATCTTGAAGCTCCTCCCCGACATGACTCATTTTAAAATCCAGTATTCGTTAATGAATGCTATCTGTGAAAAATATTTCTTCATTGTCATGAATTTCTGTAATTGTTTGAGGGTCATAGTGGCCAAGGTGGAAAAACATTCACCAGAAAAACGTTAATTATTAATAGCAATTACTTGGAAAGAATATAAAAGGATTCTTCAATTCAAATGATAGAATGTACTCTATAAAGATTCATCTGAAATAATGAAGACTGTTAGAACCATATCTTTGCTTGTTTTCTTCAGCTCCATTAAATGTCAGACTCTTCAGAGAAGTTTACTAGATGCAGGTAGGGAATCCTATTTACAATCTATACACCCGTGTGCCAGGAGATGAAACATAATGACTATTAACATATACATGGAAAGGCTATCTTTCTCAGCGCTCATCACTGTCAGTAGAGTCATTGAAGATTGCTAGAAATTAACCTGTGGAATAGATAGAGAAAGAGAATTGATATATTGAAGCAACACACACAGGAAGATCTAATTTTCCATTTTCCACCTTACTTCCACTCTAGGTCAGAGAATGACATATTTCAAACTTGTATTTAAAATTGGATAAATGATTTTAGATAGAGCAATAGTGTTTATAGTAGCAAGAATAATCCCATGAGCTACATTGTTCAGTACCTACTATGTGCCAGGCACTGTGCTCAATGCTTCACACATAGGCTTTCATTTAATCCTAACAACCACCCAATGTAGTAGAAGTTATTTACATTTGATAGAGAAACAGAACCTCTGAGTGCTTAAGTTATTTCCTCAAGGCCATATTGAGTATCAGAGCTAGAAGCTGAACTCAGAATAAGTATCTCCAAAGCCTTTACTTGTTAATATGTAAATAATAATGGTTTCTTTATTAAATAGATAGCTGCTAAGCTGTTTTGAAGCTATTGATGTTAAAAGGAAGACACTGTTTTCAACAGAGAGCATGTGTATGTGGTGAGTGGAGATGATGAAGATGATGAGCGAATCCAAGATGTATGAGTTACTGTCTTTGCCAAATTAAGCCTGGCAAAGTGTTAATGTTTATACTTTTGTTCCTAATGCCAGGCTTTAATTTTCTTAGTGTTCTTTGTGTGTGCTAGTAACTTCTAATAAGAGATAACCAAAGAGTCAAGTTTAATTAATTCAGAAGTATCAATACAGGTATGTGCCACTTATTTGTAAGCCAATGACGGTTCAACTACGTGATGTGTTTGAGTAGAAAGAAATCGTTCACAGAATACAGTTTAAATAAAAGAAAAGATATATTCTTATAATTTGTTCTGGTTTATGATATAAACAAAAATAAATCTGGAAATTTATGAATGAATAAATATAGATTTGAATTGTCAAAGGGGATTTCAGTTTGGAAAATTTCCTCTTCTGTAAATAAAATCTCATTTTTTTTCAGCCATGCAGCACTCTAATAGCCAGAATTATCTAGAGGAGAACTTAAGAGCTGTGTGAGTTTTATTATCAGTATTCTTTTGTTTGAAATGTAAAATCATATTAATTATTTTGGGGGGGGAGTAGGGCAGTGATATAACAAGATTGATGGAGGAAAAGAGTTTGATTCTATCTTCAGCATTCACACAAGTGTTCTGTTTCAGCACTAGTATTATGGTTGCACAGTTTCTTCAGAAATTGACTTATGAAAAGGTACAAACCATAGTTAAAGAATTGCTAGATCTTGCAGAGATGTGCAAGAGCCTCAAGCCACATGAATCACCTTCAGAATGTTGTCACCAATTGGTAGGTGAATCGTGTTCTGCCTTTTTCTCTCTGTTGTTTTAAAAACTAAATTGCAAACAAAAGATGTTGTTATGAAGTGGGATGACTGAATAATTAGGCAAGGGATTTTAAGGCAACAATATGTACATGTGTCACACTCAAGATATAATCTTTGTAGGTTTATAAACTTACATTTTATCATTTCATATCTGGGAGATCAGACTCTGAGAACTAAATGCTCAAGAGAATGAATTATACCCTAGAATGCCAATTTGTTAATTTAAGTCGGTTGCTCTGTCTCTGTCACTAGAATATTATTGTCTGACATCCTCATATAAAGGTTTCTGGGAAATTAATGTACTGATTTTAAAAGTTTCTAAGAGAATATAAAAAAGAAGAAAAAAGTGAATATTATTATAGGCTTTTTTCCCCACTTAGTAGAAAATCTTGAAAATTACTATCATCTCATAAAATATGTCTATCTTATGATTAGAAAAATTCTTGATAAAAACTAACATATTCTTATAATCTACATATTTTTGTATCAGTTATTCTCATATCAACAATTTAAATACAAATACATAATTTTCTTTTTTATTTATAGATTTTTTTCACTCCATCTTCTTTGGCTAAAACCTACCTTTTTTTTTTTTTTTTTACCAGACTCTAAGTAGTCATAGAAAAATCATTAGTCTAATTAGAGACACACTTTAAATGAAGTTCCTTTGCCAGTGGCTAGCCTCACTTATTTTATATCGATTTCTTCTTATTCCCATTTCCAAAGATGACCTTTTTCTGCCCTTATCCCACAAATCTGGAAGCATATGTCATTTGAGGTTTACAGCATCCCACACATTTACTGCCATTCAAAGATACTTGAAAACTGAATCATTACATTTCTATTTGAATATTTGACACCGAATACACATTGCCTCAGAGTTTAACTTTTAAAATAAGCTCCCATGGAAACCAACTAAAAACAATCAGGAAGCAAGGAAAGCAAACTAAGAGCTGTTTCTTGGTGGGTAATTCTTATTAAAAATACCTTGATTTCTTTAGGTCCTGGACATTTTGGCTTACCTTTATTTTAATACCTTCAACTGTATGAAAATGAAGCACTTACATAGGTAGGGAGAAAATGATAAATTCTCTTTGGCCCATGTCCAGCATGTGGGAATTTAGACTTAAGAACCTTTTAAAAGGCTTTCACTCAAAAGAGTTACATCCAGGGACTATTGGATACAGAGTATAACATTAAGCACTCAGTTGCCTTTTCTGTATAATTCCTTAACTTTCCTGTGGTTAGAAATGTAGACCACAAGTGCCTTCCCTTAATTTACTATTTCCTCCTACAGATGCCTACCTTCCTAGAGCATATTTGCAATAACCAAGGGTTGGCTGACAGACATGTGTTTTCTGACTGTTGCAATACAAATAACTCAGCAAGACACAAGTGCTTCCTGTCATACAAAAAGGATGTTGCAGGTTACAGTGATATATTCCAAATTTCAAATCCTGAGCAGATCTGTGAGATGGACAAAGAGAATCATGTGCCAGTGAAAGAGAAGTAAGTCATATTTCCTTGCCAGGTCTTTGAAAAAGAGTATTTTCCAATTTTGAAGACAGATCTTTTGTTTTAATATAAAAGCCTCTGAGTACGCAAAGCTTGATTATATAAAATTAAAGTGAAAATTTGAGCTACAATTTATTTTTTTCCCTCACAATGACAACATGGTCTTAGTAAACCCAAGAGGGCATGAAAATGTCTGCACCATGAAACATTAAAAAGGACTAGGATCTGTAAGAGACCCATCTCCTCAAAGGTTAGGTTGGTCAGACCAGTAGCAAATGATGTTGAAAAATACAGTCAAGTAGGCAAAGCACACTAAACAGAGTATTGGGAATAGAGAGCAGGTAATAGCTCAGGCAATGGGCTAGTATTTGGGAGGTTCACCAAGGGATAGCCGGAGGGGTATCTGATAGGCATGGAGATAAAGTCTGTCATTGGGAACCTAGGAATAAGTAATAATTGTGGATCGGACAGAGATGAGTTTTCTACTCAAGAACTCTGATTCTGTAATTTCCACCTGGAGTGAATGGCATGATAGCCCATGGGTAGGTGAGCTCATATTTTTGTTTCCTAGTTAGCACAGAAGTCTATCTTTTGAGAGTGAGGTACGAGCAAGTTAGAGGCAGGAAACCAAAACCAGAGAGAGGTAGAAATGACAAGAGAAGGACAAAGCTTCAGTTCTCAAGGAATGCAGTTCTGGCCATCTGGTCAAGACAGACTCAGACACTAGGAAAAAGGGGAAGATCTGATTGCTGGATCTAGTGCAAAAGGCATGGTGGTGGTTTGATTTCAGATTTTAGACGTGAAACTCTAAACCAGAAATGAATGAGCAGACAGGGTGACTTGATGTTGAACAACGTAAACACTTTTAATTCACCTATACATGGGCAGAATTGCCCCGGAAGTTACTGAGCCTTCAGGAAGGAATTAAATGGCCCCAGTCACTTAGGGAGAAAGGACAGAGGGATAAGGGATTGGGCCGGTTCCAACTGGTCTGACATTAGGGGCAACCAAATGGGAAACTGTAATATGAACTTGGCTACCTATTAAATGAGGTGCTAGCCACTCTAGGTGAGATTTATAAAATCAGTTTCGGGCATTGTTAAATCAAGTTTGAGCATTCAGAGATTATGAAATCTAACCAATACTCAGGCAGTGAATCTAATCTCTTCTTGAACATTTACAATTAAGTCAGTATCAAGGAGTTATTTATATGCTAATTTAACTTATGTGCATACAACCATAAATATTCAGGGAAAAATAATTTTCTAACTACTTGCTTCATAATTATGTCAACAACTTTGTTTAGTTCTCAACCAAAGAAACAGTAACATATCAAAGCCAGAGGAAAAGTCTGCTATTTCAGTCTCATCAAAAGATAGCATAGAATACAGATACACCAAACTGTAGTTATTGTATCTTTGGATTATCTAAGGAATTTTCGATAACAGTTTTGATCATTGTAAGATAAGTGTGACCCTTTGTCACCTTGCAATAGGGACATTCTATTTTTAAATGGCTCTAATTATTAGAAAGCTTTTTCCTTATACTAAGTTCAGCTTTGCCTTTGGAGATTTGAGATTAGATTAGTTCATACTGAAAATCCTCTATGGGAACTAAGTTACTGCAGCACAAAAATGAACTCTTAGTTTAGCATAGTACCCAACAGAGAGCAGAGATATTGAATGGCTCCAACGAAATTTCCTATCAACCAAGAATTTTGCCTTATCTTGGGTGGCAGTTGTATCTTGATAATGTCAATTCTGCTTTTCTCTTTTTACAAGTTGGGCTTGAGAAACTTTGCTGAAATGAAACGAATCTATTGACTGAACTTCCAAGAGTAAGGGGGGTGAGGGTGGAGGTTGGGTGGGGGTCAGCATTTTCTCTAGTTTAGCCTTCTGCTTATACTATCCTAGTAAATGATTAAAGCCTTAACGATACTTTCATTTTGGCTTTTTGTCTTCATTGGCTACTCTGGAACTCTTCCAAGGGGTAACTCAGGAGTGCAAGATCCTTCCATCTTGGAGCTATACCATCTGGAGCATGTGTTTCCAAGGTTACTGCAAAAAAGAAAGAGAGAGACTAGGGAACTGTGCAAAGTAATTAATAGCCAAACCTTGGAGTGGTGTATGGCATGTTCACTCATATTTCATTGATTAGAACTCAGTTATATGTTCCCACCTAACTGCAGGAGAGGCTGGAAAAGTAGTCTTCCTGTGAACACAAGAAAAGAAAGTGGATTTGTGTGAGCATTGAGCCAATTTTTGTCTGCAATGTCAACTTTTTTGGGGTATTTGTGTGTGGGGGGAGGTGGGGCGTAAATAATTTGAGTAAGCTTTGTGGAATAGTGTGAGGAGATATGATTATAAGTGAAAGGCAGGCCTGGTGCCCAGGCTCTATAATGAGTGTAAACACCCACCAATAGCTTCTAAATTTAACTCCCCTTCACCAGGTGTACAATCCTCCATTTACAATCAGTTTAGACTGGTGAACTTTCTATCTCCTACTACTTATATAAAAATGAAAAGTTTTAATTACTGATTTTCTTTACCTACTGGTCCAGAAAGTACAGTTGGTGACTTCATGGGCACTGTCTAACCTCACAGTGATCTCTCTGTAGTGAACTTTTGATGCATTTAAGTACAGTGCTATCCTATTTCTGTCACCATGAAATTCTAGGAGTTTCAGGTCAGCGAAACTAAATGAATCCTAAATTTTTAAGAAACAGTGTCAGCATATGTTCTTGAATTCCAAATTATATAGCTTTGTATTTGTCAAATTACAGGTACATTTATGAAACTTCTAGGAAGCATCCATTCTTGTATGGACCCACTATTCTGACCATGTCTGCTTGCTATGAAACAGCTGTTCGGTCTTGTTGCCAAGAAGAAAATAAGACTGAATGCTTCCAGATAAAGGTAAACTATTCATATGGCAGCCCTTACTTAGGGACTTGTTATGCTAAGTGTGGACTATGGACAAGCAGCATATGCATCACCTGGCAGCTTGTTAGAAATACAATCTGAAGCTTTTCTCCAGACCTGCTAAAGAAGACTTCATTTTAACAAGATACTCAGGCAATTCTTATAGTCCTTAAATTTTGAGAAGCATGATCTAGCATAAATATAACTTCATAGTAAATATTTAATATTCCAGTTATTATTACTGTATAACAAAACACCCCAAATTTAGTGGCTCAAAACAATAACAATTAGTTTATTACTCTTATGGTTTCAGTGGGTCAGGAATTCAGAAAGGGCTCATCTGGGCTTTTCTGGCTACTGATTTTTCATGGGGTTGCAGTCAATGGCTGGGGCTCTGAAGGTCTGTAGTACCTGGGGGTTGGTCCAACATCTCTTTCTCCTCATATTATCTCAGGGCCTTTCCATTGTGGTCTCTCTGCCTTGGCTGGCTTGGGCTGCTTCACAGAATGGCAGCCTCAGGGAAACTGGACTGCTGACATATGGCCAAAGTCTCAAGAATGAGTTTTCTAGTGGATGAAGCAGAAATTGCATGGCCTTTTATGACCAGGATTCAAAAGTTACTTCTGCTCTACTCTATTGGTTGAAATATCATAAAATCTCACCAGTTTGAAGGGGAAAGTAAATATACTGTAACGAAAGCTCATTGTAAGAAGAACATGGGATAGAAGTTGTTATTATAGCCATCTTTGGAAAATACAGTTAGCCTCACACTTAATTTTAACTGTGTGGCTTTTTCTCCTTCATTGAATAGACATAAATCGGTGATTAGTTCCATGATAAAAGTACTTTTTATGTATGTTCATTAAAGGTTCTAAATATCAACACAAAATAACCATCCTTAGAAGGCACACCAGATGGATTTTCCCCAAGGTCATGCTGAAATGAGTAGTAGTTTGATAATCGTTTTGATGAATTCCTCAAGTCTAAGGGCAGTGCTGCTTCTTCCTTGCTGTTTTCTTTGATCTCCTCAGTGAGAATTTCTCTCATATTCCTCTCAACCCCTATTTCTCTATTCCTCTAAAGCTATGTCTCCTGTTGAGCTCCTCATCGTCTACCTTGTGTAAGAAATTAAATAATGTATCTAAAGAGTCTGACATATGCTAAGTACTCAATAATCGCAGCGATTATCATTAAAGCTACTTATATATATTTCTTTCCCTAGTCATCTCCAATTCCTTCAGAAGCCAATTCTGAATTCCTAAGCAGGACAGTCATTTTTTTCTCCTGTTGGCTTCATATTATTAAAAACAACAAAAACAAGTGATTGTGTAGACTTAGGTCTCATTACCTGGCATTTTGGAAGAATGAACTTTTTCATGAAGGTGAGTTTTTTTTAGGTAACTTGTTTCAAAGTTTTCTTAATCTTAACCCTTTCAGAGGAAATTTTTCCTTAATGTATAACATGCCCCTATAATTTTTAAAAAATTTTTTTATTGGAGTATAGTTGATTTACAATGTTGTGTTAGTTTCTGCTGCACAGCAAGGTGAATCAGTTATACATATATCCACCCTTGTTTAGATTCTTTTCCCACATAGGTCATTGCAGAGTATTGAGTTCCTTGTGCTATACAGTAGGTTCTTCTCAGTTATCGATTTTTTATATAGTAGTGTGTATATGTCAATCCCAATCTCCCTATTTATCCCTACCCCCCCAAACCCGATTTCCCCCTGGTAACCATAAATTTATTTTCTACATCTGTGACTCTATGTCTGTTTTATAAATAAGTTCATTTGTACTATTTTTTTTTAGATTCCACATATAAGCAATATCGTATGCTATTTGTCTTTCTCTGTCTGACTTATTTCACTCAGTATGACAATCTCTAGGTCCATCCACATACTAAGCATAAGCTTTTAAGTTAGCTAAGAGTTCTTTTCTCCTCTCCCTCACTTTGTGATGTTTACAGTCTTGCTGCCTCCAGGGTGTCTGTTTCAAGAAGTTATTACTCCTTGCCCAGAGAAAATTGCATAGCCAATCATGTAAAACTTGTATCTATGATCAGAGAATGTGGTTTATGAGTTAAGCCTTCACAGACTCTCTTGTGAAGAAGTGGATAATCTTGTTTGTATTTGATTTCAAATGAGTATAATACAACAAAATAAGAATAAAAATTATATTTATAATTAATTATAAAGTATAATTTATTATCGTTGTGCCAGATTTGTGGTTTGAATATTGCCTCTGTATACATTATCTAACTTGTTCTTAAAAAAAAGCATTGTAAGGTGTTGTTACCCCCAGTTAAAATAATATATGGTCAATATAATGTTTTAAGTGAATATATAGAGCTCTTCTGAAATCTTAAAATGTTGTTTATTCTCCCATCACACAGAGATACCAATTTTGGTATATTTCTTTTTATTCATTTTTTTCATTCACAGGTTTTATTTTGTACATTGTTGTGATCAAATTGAATATATAGTTTTGGTTAGAGACCTAAATACATGTGCTTTTTATTAGAAGTCAAAAGTCAAAATTCTGGGTTAAAGAATATGAACGTTTTCGGGGGGGGGGCTCCATTAATACATATTGCAAAACTGGAGCATATATCATAGATAAGCATTTGGAAACATGTTCAAGATGACAGGGCTAGTAACTTGAATAAAACCAAAATACAACTGTAAGACGTTATCAAAATTTATTCTAGTGGCTCCCTGGATTTTTGTTTGTCCACTTTCTTGTTCTCATTTATACGCCAAATGTCTAAGTTCTGGGATGAACAATCTCTGGGGAAGTGAGATGCTATTTTATAAAAAACAAAAAACAAAAAAACAGAACCTTCACCAAATTATGCTTTTACATTTGGCCTCATAGATAAGACAATAAAAACTTTCTAATTTTGAGAAGATACATGATTTTTATTTTTCTCTCTTCTTTACTAACCATGAGATAAACTTCTTCTGTTGTTACCATAGTTCTTTGATGAGTCGGTTTTCTAATTACAGCTAGAACCCATCAGAAAATACATTAGAGAAATATCTTCGAGGCATCACCACTTATGTGAGATTGGGATTAAATTCAACCACAAAGTAGCAAAAGCAGTGTAAGCTACCTATTTAGATTTGTGGACTTTGTTGCTTTGGATCACCCTCTTTGATTAAACTCATTTAAAAATCATTTACCTTTCATTTGCTAATGTCTCAGTGCAAATCTGGTTCCTTTCTCTACACGTGTGCTATTTGCCTGTTCAATAGGGCACATTGGGCTGTGCCTGAAACTGCACAGTCCTCCTCTCTACCCACTATCTCCTGTGGGGTTGATATCTCCTCTATCAACTTCTTCCATCAGCTCAAATCCTTTAGGCTCTTCTCCAGTGCACAAAAGATTCTGTACATTCAGATGCTCACGCTTAGTAGTTCTTCATGGTGAAGGCTGGAGGACAAAAGGTATTTTTCTCTTGGAAGACAAGAAATATTTTGGCTCTAATGTCATGTAGGACAGAAAAAGCAAGTGGTGTTTTTTGGGGTGGGGATAGAGGACTGTGGGGTGGGAGGAGAGTTTGATGCTACTCAGTGTGCCTCTATCTTGGGCCCAGATTGTGTTTCTGTCCCAAGTTTACCCCTGAAGACATGCATCTTCCCTTATATCACCTTCATCCCTAATTTAGGATAACAGTGGGCTGCCTGGAAGCTCAGTTTTCCTTATAAGGCAAGCCCATTTTTCATATTTCTAGAAAAATTTCAGGGATGTTTTTCAGTTGTCAACAGAGGGGGACAAGGGAGAACCAAACCTCTTACAATTATTATCTTTCTGATAAAGAATTTTATTTGGAAAGTCAGGTCAGATATATTCCCAAATTACCTATCTAAGCAACTCAACTACTTTAAGCAATAATTTGAATGATGAAAATGACTGTATTTACACGATTATGAAGTGAATAATTTTCATTTTGTGATTTTGTGATCTACATCTTTCTATGGCTCTGGGTTCTATCACTGTAGAAATAGAAAACACTTATAATATACAACTGTCTTCATCCTACATTTGCAACTGTGTTTCTATTCTTTTGGTTACTCAATGAACTACAACTAATTTTAGAAAGAATTAAAAAAACTGTTTAAAATGTACTTTTTTTTTCTTCAGGGAATTGGTTCTGTTGACTAAAAAACAACCTAAAGCTAACTTTTCTGAAATTGCCAAACTGGCCATGGATATTAAAAATCTGCATCAGATCTGTTGTGAAGGAAATACAGTAGCGTGTGTGCTTGGCAGAGTAAGACTTTCTCTTTTCTTAAAACTCTTTAAAATACTTGTACTTTTTAAATAAAGGTGAGGGTGGTATAGATGAATCTAAAAAAGTAATTATCATTTCTCAATATTACCAACAGAATGGTGTCTCCCCTCCTCTCTCTTCTCTTCTAATGAAACAATTTTTTTCTTTCTTTTCCTCCCTTCCTTCCTTCCTTCTTTCCTTCTTTCCTTCCTACCTTCCTTCCTTCCTTCCTCATTCTATCTACTTTATTCTTCTATTCTTAAATTTTTAGAGCTGGCTGCTGATTTTCTTCCAAATTGGGATTGTATTTCATTCATCTTTGAATCTCTAGAAAGTCTTAGAATTGCAAACTATACCCTCAGGCCTTATCAGCCTGGAGGAAAGAAGAAACCACCAAAAGCAAAGATGTGGCATCAAGGGACAAGGGCCGGGGCATGGACAGCATAGAACTCACCTGCCCCACGTCCAAATGTAAAGTCTCAAAATCCCAGAGAAGGAAAAAAATTGTAGCTGTTAAAATCCTGATAACGTTTTAGTAAATCACAAGTTACAAGTATGTTCCTATTCATTCTACAAGTTTGAAAACTGAATAATTTTCATCATGATAAAAAGTAAAACAGAAACAAAGAAAGACTACAATCATGATTTCAGTGAGAAATCTATGACTCTTATGGGCAGAAATCCTTACCCCCAACAATTTTTGTCCCATTACACAACAGATTAAGGAATGTGGGTAACAATATCAATTAAAATAGAAAAATCATTGAATCGAACACTCAGTAGAACCCCTAAGATTCTAAGTCCTCAAATGTCTACTTTGCTGGAACAGAGAGTTGGGGTCGGACCATAGCTTTCCCTTGGCAGCCATCGCAGTTGGCCATTGTTTGGTCAGTGCCACATACAGCTTGACCGAAAGATGGTGGCTGCTACTGCCAATTCCACCCTGGAGATAGACAATATAAAGTTGCTTCTTGGATTACTTCCCGTATGGCAAGAATCTCAACACATACTGGAAGCAATACTATCCTATACACTTAGAAGTCGTGCTGGCTCTTTAGGATAGGCTCTCAGAATCCTATTTGCATGAAGATTAGGTGAAAATTACAGGGAACTTTGGGACCAATCCATAGGTATTAAAACAAAACAAAAGAAAAATCCCTAAAATCCTTTAACACATAAACAATACCCATGCCAAACTGGTAACTCTAGAACAGCTCCTGTTATTGTCTATACTATGACAGGAATGCTAGAAAAATCTCCAGTTATTTAATTGTATTAGGTAGTATTCATAAGCAATATAAAGTAACTTTAGATAGTTCTGGCATTCCTTTTTTATTCTAGACCATAAAGGAAACAGGTTTAGAGTTATTAGCTTGACAAAAATACTTTTATGTGTTGAGATGTTTCACTCTGTTTTAGAGGTTGTCTTGTTTTGTTTTAAATAGGATGGATTCTGAACATTAGTAAATATTCTTTTGTCTTCTTGGGATGATCATTTGATTTTTATTGTTTGACTTATCCAATTATATTAAAAGATTTCTTAATATTTACCCATTTTTACATTGCTCAAGTCAATATCATTTTACTATATCTATGGCGTCTCTCTTTCTCTACATATATATATGTCACATTTTTGCATTTATCTTTAGATGTGAAATGGATCTAGAACTTTCTTTTTTGGCACATATTTTATCAGGTTTTGTTATCCAGTTATGATAACTTCTAAAAGATGAATTAGAACTTTTTTCCTTTCGAATTCTCTGAAATAACTTAAATAGCACTGTAACTTACCTGTTTTCAGGTTTGTCTGTGAAACTGGAGGAGGGATGGAGATACAAACTGATGTGACAGCTTCTCCATTTCTTTTGTTATGGATTTATTTAAACATTTTTTCAGTCAATCTTTATTATTCATGAATTCTATACTTGAGAATTCACCTACATGCCAAAATTTATTTGTGACCCCCAAATCAATACTCACAGCACTTTGTGGTCATTCCCAGATTTATGCATGCTCAGAGCAGTGGAAATCTGAGTTGCCACATGTGCATGGCTCCAGCTACAATAGAACAAGGTGATGCTCTCTGCCTTCTTGTTGTAGCTCTCATACTGTAAATAGGTGTTCTTTTTGCAGTCTATTAAGTGCCACATTTTCTGCATTTCTGTGCTTTTTGTTGATGAGTTAGCTCTTTAAAATGGCCCGAGTATAGTTCTGAAGTGTTGTCTAGTGTTCCTAGAAGCTGTGATGTGCCTTGTGGAAAGAATATGTATTTTATTTTATTAGAGTATAATTGCTTTACAATGGTGTGTTAGTTTCTGCTTTATAACAAAGTGAATCAGCTATACATAAACATATACCCCCATATCTCCTCCCTCTTGCGTCTCCCTCCCACCCTCCCAATCCCACCCCTCTAGGTGGTCACAAATCTCCGAGCTGATCTCCCTGTGCTATACGGCTGCTTCCCACTAGCTATCTGTTTTACATTTGGTAGTATATATAAGTCCATGCCACTCTCTCACCTCGTCCCAGCTTACCCTTTCCCTCTCCCCGTGTCCTCAAGTCCATTCTCTATGTCTGCATCTTTATTCTTGTCCTGCCCCTAGGTTCTTCAGAACCTTTTTTTTTTTTAGATTCCATATGTATGTGTTAGCATACAGTATTTATTTTTCTCTTTCTGACTTACTTCACTCTGTATGACAATCTCTAGGTCCATCCACCTCACTACAAATAACTCAGTTTCGTTTCTTTTTATGGCTGAGTAATATTCCATTGTATATATGTGCCACATCTTCTTTATCCATTCATCTGTCGATGGACACTTAGGTTGCTTCCATGTCCTGGCTATTGTAAATAGAGCTGCAATGAACATTGTGGTACGTGACTCTTTTTGAATTATAGTTTTCTCAGGGTATATGCCCAGTAGTGGGATTGCTGGGTTGTATGGTAGTTCTATTTTAGAATATGTAGTTTAGATAAGCTTTATTCATGCATGAGGAACAGTGCTGGTGGCTATGAGTTCAATGTGAATAAATCACCCATACGCAGGAGTCCCCCTTATTGCCCCCTTTGCTTCCTGAGGTTTCAGTTAATCACAGTCAACTTTTATCTGAAAATATTAAACAGAAAAATCCAGAAATCAACAATTCACAAGTTTTAAATTGTGTACCATTCTGAGTAGCATGATGAAATCTTGTGCCATCTTGTGCCATCTCATCTGGGACATGAATCATCCCTTTGTCCAGCGTTTCTCGGGGATTAGTAACTTAGCAGCCATATAGGTTATCAGATTGGCTGTCCTGGGATCACAGTGCTTGCGTTCAAGTCACCCTTAGTTTACTTAACAGTGGCCCCAGTGCACAAGAGTAGTGATGCTGGCAATTTGGATCTGCCAAAGAGAAGCCATAAAGTGTACCCTTGAAGTGGAAAGGTGGAAGTTCTCAACTTAATAGGAATAAGAAAAAAAAATCATATGCTGAGGTTGCTAAGATCAATGGTAAGAACAAATCTTTTATCTGTGAAATTGTGAAGAAGGAAAAAAAAATTCACGTTAGTTTTGCTGTCACACCTCAAACTGCCAAAGTTTTGGCCACAGTGCATGATAAGTGCTTAGTTAAGGTGGAAAAGGCATTAAAATTGTACAATAAGTTATTTTGAGAGAGAGCGAGAGAGAGACCACATTCACATAACTTTTATTACAGTATATTTTTATAATTGCTCTATTTTATTATAAGTTATTTTTGTTAACCTCTTACTGTTCCTAATTTATAAATTAAACTTTATGATAGGTATGTATGTACAGGAAAAACCATAGTATATGTAATATTTGGTACTCTCTGTAGTTTCAGGCATTGACTGGGGGTCTTGGAATGTAACCCCTGTGGGTAAGGGGGGGCTACTCTATATTAAATAAGGTGTTTTTAAACAGAAACATACACAAAATAAGGTTATGTCTTGATCTGTTGACGAAAATGTGGCCAGAGACTTGCAGAAAACTTGTTCTGTATTTCCTCTAGGGTAGATGATTCAATATTCATGAATTCAGTGTTTATAACTACTGTGAATAATGAGAATCAACTGTACTTATTTTTGTCAGGTTTTAAAATATACATTTTCCTTTAAAAAAATGTCCTTCATTAGCACTTTCTCATTTAGAAATATAGAGTTCTACATGACAATATTATTATTTGATAACTAAAAACATCAATTATGTAGTTATACCTCCTTTCCCCCCATGTATGTATGTTTTCTCCTTTAAGTAATTAGTTTTGCAAAGGGACTATTTAATTTACTGTTCTTTTCCAAGACAGAGTTCTTGGAAGACGACATTTACTCCAGTTTCACAACTAGGTGGAGCCTAGTCAGAAGTGATTTATGTCATTTCTAGGCCTGGCCTATAAAATCTCCTGTCCAAAACACCCAATCTGAGGTCAATGTTAGAATCTACAGGTTGAAGATGACAGGGCCTCTGTCAGCCTGGTTCTCAGAACTACTGCCCAGAGGCAATACACCTCCCCTTCTCGATAGGACTTTATTGAGAAAGAAACAGACTGGATCCTATTAAGCCACTGAGAGCAGACTCGTCACTTAACTAATGTACACACTCTCCCTTATCGGTCTCAACCTGACCTCACAATGCAGCTTCAATTTACCACTCTCAGATCTAGATCTTCAGTACATTCTTCTTCTCTCCTGATCCCTTAATCTTAATCTCAACTAAATTTTCCCAATGAGCTCAAAATGTCCTATATACCATTTCCCAAGTACGCCATGTTCTTCACCTCTAAGACTCTTTATATATAAAGATGGATAATTCTAGTATGCTTTTCCTCTCCATTTGTTTCCAACTAACTTCTATTTGTCCTTCAAGATTCAAATCATTCAAGATCTTCACTCTGACCTTTATCCAGTCTGGATTGCCAATCTCTCTTTTTTCTTCCAAAATATAATATGTGCATTTCTCCAACAATTTATTTTGTAATGCATTATTATTCTTGTTTAATTATTTGACTCTCCAACTAGATTGTGAGTTCCTTAAGTATAGAGACTAGCTTGTTCATACACACAGGTACTTATTTTTGTATGTGTATATATAAGTAAATATGTAAGTTTTATAGTAATATTACAGTAATGTATATAGAAAATGACAGAGACAAAATGTTTTCTAAACTGGGATCCCAGACCGATAACAACAGTAGCAAGTAATAAAACTCTTCATTTGTATTTTGTTGGGCTAAACTTGAAAACAATAATACAGTCTGTCTCTCTTTAAGTTCTTTAAGAGATGTTAGAAGAACTTGTGACACTTCAGTAAAGTCAAATAGAGAAGGTTTCTTAGTAGAATGAGTCACTATAAATGACCTTTTTTGGTCTCGCAGTTTGCCATGGAAAGAGCAATATAAGATGCCAAGTTTTTCTCTGGTTTTCTACTAATAACAATAAAAAGAAATAAGTTCAGAATGAAGTCATCAAAAATAACTGCTCTTTTATGTTTATAGAGCCAGCTTATGAACTATACCTGCTCTAAACAGGCTACGCTATCCAGCAAGATCACTCCATGCTGTGAGCTGCCAGAACCATTCTGAGGGGAATGCATTATCAACTCAGAAAATGACAAACCTGATCTCTCATCCCTGCCACTTAGCAGGTTTACAGAAGACCAGTTTGTATGCAAACAATTCACTGACAAACAAGATGACTTCCTACAAGAGTAATATGGCTTTTTGTAAAACCTTACTAATGGTATATTGTATTTATGGATTCTTTGGGAGAGATTGCAAACGTGAATGATGACAGAGGCGAGCCAATGATGTGAGTGAATGGTTAAATGGCTGAGAGGAGATGCCTTGTGGAGTCCAAGGTTGCAGCTACTATTTGGCTCTAGCTACTTGTAACCATATGGGAATGTAGGCTTTGGGTCGTTGGATCAACTGCATTTTGAGAGAAGTTGGAAGTCTCTTGATTTTTAAATGTTGACAACTAATATAGGAATTTTAAAAAACACAGTGAGCGTCAAGTGTATGCAGGCTTTGCTCTGAGGGACTTAGAGTCATCCCTAAGTAAGGGTTTCAGATTGGTATGCCTGGCCAGCTCTTCTAATTAATTTAATGCCTACTCTCAAAGCCATAGTGTGGCATTACAAGATTAAAGAGATGGAGTTCTAACATCTCTGGTGTCCATTCAGAAGTGCAAATTATTTTGGGCATAAAGCAAACTGATTTCAATATATTATAATGTTAAGACAATATTACTGAGTGATTGAAATAGTTCCAAAGTCACTTTGTGAAGTATTATTTGGAGCAGCTAAATTCTAAAAAAACATAAGAATTTGAATTTTCCTCAAAGTTTTCTGTAGATTGACTTTAGCTATATTTCTGAAATTACATTTGACACTGGCTTATAAAAGTAAATGTCACTACCTGAACTCATTTATCCCTAAACTTGCATTTAGTATTGAAAAAGTCGATAGGCACAACTTCCTAGTGGAAATTACGTTAGACTATGAGTTGTGAGACCTGAGTTCCAGTCTAGCTTGGTCATGCATCAGCTTTGAAATGCTGTTCAAGCCACTTAATTTCCCCAGACTTTTGGGTTCCAACTGTAAACTGAGGCAGTTGGATAAGATCACTTCAGATGTCCCTTCTGCAATTCTATGATTCCTTTGAAAATATTCTAGAGTCCAAATTTCTCTTTCTTGTAACCCAGAAGAATGTGCAGATTATGGACAACTGATGCTTGAAGGCTTATGTGGAAAACAGGGGAAGGTGGTTATTTAATACCTAGTCAACACAGTCTTACAAAAAAATTGTAATATTTATAAAATCTAGCCTCAAAGGTCATCAAGAAAATGTTCTCACCCAAACACTTGAAATGAATTTCTAGTAAAAGTAAGGAGAGACCCTGAGCCAGGAACTAAATCTTATCAGAATGTTTTAGGTTCAAGTTTGAACCTGCCACTCACTACTGTGTAACTTTGGAAAAATCACGTAATTTTATTGATTTGGTTTCCTTATCTCAAAATCTAGCCAATAAAACTTCCCTGCCAGCCTCCCAAGATTTTCAAATACCTAAAGTCAGTTAAAATATTGAATAAATGTCATGGTCATAGGTGGCTTTTGAAAGAAAACTATGGCTTCAGAAATTTAGTGTTTACTTTCTGATATGCTTCATGTGCTTACAGGTTTCTTTATGAATATTCAAGAAGACATCCAGAGTTGGCAGTTCCAGTGATTTTAAGAGTGGATACAGTATATCAAAACTTACTAGGAAAATGCTGTAAATTAGAAAATCCTCTGGAATGCTATAGTCATGGGGTAAATTCCTTTTTTTTAAACGTGTTTCTCATAAGTGATTATAAACATAGGGAAAAGTCCAATGCTGTTAGTTGTGCTGTACTTTTGTAAGATGATTATGCATGATCTTTCTAATTGCAAGCACTACACAAAAGCTTTTGATTTCTGTCTGAACCAAAGGCCACATCATTATACAGCAGCAACTTTCTGTGTGAGTCACTGCCTTATAGATTCTGTGTTTTATGAAAACAATTCTGTGCAATCTTCTCTAAAGTTTGCTTGGCATGGTAGCAGGTAGCATGAAAGCATAGCCTATTAGGGTGGGGGAAGGTTGACGGTTTCCACCAAGCAGGCCTGGAAACTGTCCCTGTCTCAGGCCAGAAACCATACTGTTCACAGTCAGCAGCTCCTGTTGTGTAGTTGACATGGAAGAAGCCAGTTGCCTTACAACTCTCTGACCAGACAATCTGTTATCCACAGTTTACCAGGAGCCAGGTGGTTCTTGCTTTTGTTATGCTAATTAGTGGGTGGGGATGGAGGACGAAGGCATTTCTTGTCCTGTTTGAGCTCAAGCAGGTACACCTAGCATCTTCCTGTTCCCAGAGAGAAGGCTAAATGAAGGCGACTTAGTCTTTTGTAGGTTAGCACCCTTTCATAGAATCACCTGTAGACTCCACAATCATCATTATGATAATAGCCCCTTATAGGAGCATGGATGTTTAGAGTTTACAAAGTAGCTTTACAACAAGTGTCCTATTTTATTCTCACAACAGCTTGGTAAGATAGGTAATGGCATAAGTACTAGCTACATTTTGTAGATGAGAGTTTTGAGTTTCAGAAGGTTCAGATGACTTGTCCAATGTCACACAGGCAGTAAGGACAAGGCTAAGTGTTAAATCCAGGCAAACAGTTTGCCAATCAGGTAAAATTTTTACTATAACAAATACTGTTTATTAGGATCAGGTGGACTGGGTCTGATTACTTAAGAGGATAACCAGTGCTCCTACCAAAGAGCTAAGTCTGCAAGGTCACTCGTATCTTCCCACTGGAATTTTATTTGCACTGTTCAAGAATTCTTTGAACTTTCATTTAGCTCTGAGAATTCCATGTGATTCCCTTTAACGTGTATTCGTGGAGTGCTTTACTATGTTCAAGTCTGGTACTTGTTTTTATTAAACCACGACTTCTTAATATGTATCTATATTTCTGTACCTACATCCATATCTCTATATCTGTACTGTTTACATAAAAATGCTGTATTATTAAAAATAACCAATATGCACGCATACACACACACATTCTGATCAATTAAACTTAGATCTATAAATTACTTTTAAGGACCTCTTTTTGGCTTGATGAATGGTTAGCTTTATGCTTGTAAAATATGCCATTTAAGCCCATAAATGAGTTCATACCACAGGAAACTAAATATCAATCTTGCTGTCCCACTTTTTTCTCCACAAAGTACATGGCAATTCCTGTTTCAGCAAAATGTGTTTTTTCAACATTTCCAAACTCACTAAGTAAATAAAACCCTGGGTTTAGTAAAACAGTCACATTAAACTATTACAGAAGATGGTTTTGCAATCTTACCTCAAGATATATTGTTGCAACGTAGATAAACACTGATTATCTTTATTTTTCAGGAAGAGATGTTTCAAAGAGTGGTTCATGAAAGCCATGAGCATGTGAAAAATCAGTGTGATTTACATGAGAAATTAGGAGATAGTAACTTCCATGACAGGTATGCTTCCAAGATATTGTCCAAATTTATGATTGTTCGTGAGTTTTTGTTGACTCCTGCTGCTGAGAGTTGCTAAGAGTCTATATTCAACCTTAAAATCTCAGAGGCCAAGGAAAAACTCAGTTCAGAATTAACCTAGTTATCTTTGTCTTGATAAGACAGTTGTCCACATAACCTTGGGTGCTTTTACATTGCTTTTTAGGCCAGTTTCCAGATTCCAATCAATGCCCAGAGGTCAGGGAGCCAGCAGACCCTGACTGCCCTTCCGCAATCCCACAGGAGCCCTCTACCCTTCACCTGGACATTTAGTTTGGGGCTTTGCATGCAATCTGGAGTCAAGGCTGCAACAGAGATCTAATCTAGGTTTTCTTCGTCAGTTTCAAGTCAGGTCAATATAGCAAATACAGTATTTTCACCATCAAGAGTAGAGATAAATAGGCACCTTAGTCAGAGGGAGCACACGTTAACTCTTTGTGTGCAGAGAGCCTGGTAAATCCCATTGTATTTCAAAGATTAAGATATCAAAAAAAAAAAAAAGCCAATTTTCAGTTATCTTTAAGATCTTACTGTAATAGTCTATTAAGAAGCAGAGTATATATGTCAATCCCAATCTCCCAATTCATCACACATATATACACTAATATGTATAAAATGGATAACTAATAAGAACCTGCTGTATAAAAAAATAAATAAAATAAAATTCAAAAATTCAAAAAAATATATATACAACTGAATGCAGAAAACCAGGTGGAGAGCACTACATGTTTGTGGATGTTATTTCAATAAAAATCCAAACAGTTTAGTGTGTGTGTGTGTGTGTGTGTGTGTGTGTGTTTTGATAAAATGATATTAAAATGAACCTGCTATAAAGCACAACCATAATAAAAAAAAAAAAAAAAAAAAAAAAGAAGCAGAGTATTGGGGAAAAGTTCAGTTTGATACAGTGTCCCATAATATTGAGCTTAAATTAAATGTCCAGAATAATGGATCCAAAAAAATTATTCTTGTTTTAGAATATTTGGCTTATTATTATTTTTTTAACTGTTGTGTTTAATTGCTAACGTCTAGCTTAAGGATTAGACTGGTGGCTCTCAAACTTTAGAGTGCATCAAAATTACTTGGAGGGCTTGTTAAACACAGCCCACCCCTAGAGTTTCTGATTCAGTAAATCTGGGGTGGGGCATGAGAATTTGTACTTCTAACAAGTACCCAGGGGATGCTGCCAATCCAGGGGTCATACTTTAAGAAGCACTGGATTAGGTTGACTATTTCCTTGGATGCTATAGCTAAATTCTTCCCCTAACTCCATTATAATATAAATGCAATAAATGATTCTGACATTTTGTCCTCAAATTCAGTTCTGCAGAGTCTTTCTCATTAAAATCTCTCTCCATATCCCTCAGTTCCCACTACCACTCTCCTAGTTCAGGCCATCACTTGAATTACTGGCATGGACTTTTCTTCCCTCACTTTGCCTCTTGCCCACCTCCAATCCATTCTTTATATAGCAACCATAATTATCTTAAAAACAATGTAAATCTGATTCTATAGTTAAGCTTTCTTCCTTCTCCTCTCTCCAATTCCCAGTCCCCCCTAATCAAGAAAAAAATCACAATCAGTGACTTTCTAAGTGCTCCCTTCTTACTTTCATTCCCCTTCACCTGGCTCATTTTTAGTTATTGTCAGATCTCAGCTCACATGTCATTTCCTCTAGGAAGCCTACCTGACCTCCCTGGGATGGGATTAGATGTCGTTCTGTGTGCACCTATAGCATTCTCTATTCCTCTCATTATACTGAGTGTACTCCTCTATCTCCTCCGCTAGAGGTGTGAGACCATGAGAGTAGGACATGTTTCCTGATCGTTGGTTGCTGTAGCTTCTATTCCTACACATTGTAGACAACCATACATGCTTTAATGGCCTGTGCATATATTTATTTCAGAAGCTGTTTACTCTGAGTCTGATTTTGCAGCCATCCAAATTAGCTATCACAGTATCCTTCATAAGTAGAAAGAAGATGGATGAGAGTGGAGCAATGTGTGAGGTGGAAAGGGAATTCCAGGTATACTGAATAAGCCATTGAGCCACTGGGTCAAGAACTAAAAGGATAGACTTAAACCCAATCTAATGACTTGCTCATCCCACATCAGAGACGATGTCAGATATTGAGGAAAACTTTGTAGAATTCTTCATTTTGGGCACATAGCCATTGCCAGGAATAAGAGGAAATTATTCTTTCAGGCTCAGAGTCCTTTATACTAAGAAAGCCCCACAATCATCTGCTCAGGAGTTGGTTATATTCACGAAGAACATGGCAGCTTCTGCCACCACATGTTGCCCACTGAATGATGAGCAACAGTTTGTTTGCATGGAGAACTCGGTAAGCGCATCCTTGACTGCATGTCTGTCTGTTGTTAAAAGTTCTGAACTCCAAGCCCCAGCAATCAGTCTCATGTTGGTGGACACGTCTATGAATTGTCAATGGAACCTAATAATTCTGTCCTTAAGAGAATTTATTTCTGGTCAGTTCATGCCAATTGTCTTTGATTAGCAGCAGGGATAAATAAGACTATCACTTTGCAAAAACTGGGGATGTCAGATTCACCAGACCTTTGCCTGGATCATATCCCAAGGTCTGTTCCCTGGATTTTCAAGTCAACAAAAGCGATTTTGCTGCTTTTAGACTAACTCATACTGATCAAAAGTGTAGGAAAAAACCACCCAGTTTCCTCTTGTGTTTCTCCTTTACTCTCACACGATTACCATACTCACAACACTTCTGACACCAGATGTGTGGGTTTTTTTTTCTTTTCCCCAAAGCAAACACTGGGAATCCTACAGTTTAACTCAATTCTAACACTATCTGCTTGGAGACGGCATCAGATCCTACGGGCTGAGGGCTCAGTTCCACAGGACTGCTCCCACCTGACTTCAGATGCCAACCACGAGTCCAAGTTGTCACCTGTGCTTCTGACTGATTAGCTATAAATCGGAGGTTTCCACAACTCCCTCCTTGGGTTCAATTAATTTTATAGAGCACTTCACAGAACTCAGGAAAACACAGTTACCAGTTTATTGAAGGATATGAAAAAGATGCAGAAGAACAGCCAGATAAGAGGTACATAGGGTGAGACCTGGGAGGGTTCCAAGTGCAGAAGCTTCCCGTGGAGTTGGGGTGTCTCACCCTCTCGGTACTTGGATGTGTTCACTCACCTGAAAGCCCACTGAACCCCATACTATTGGGATTTTATGGAGGCTTCCTCACATAGACATGACCAGTTATTAACTGTATTTCCAGCCTCTTTCCCCTCTCTGGAGCATGGGGGTGGGGCTAAAAATTCCAAGCTTCTAATCATGTCTTGGTCTTTCTGGAGACCAGCCCCCATCCAGGAGCCATCCAGGAGCTCACTCAGAGTCATCTCATTAGAACAAAAGCTGCTCCTAATGCCCTTATCACTTAGCAATTTATAAGCATACCGGGAGCTTTGTGTCAGGAACCAGGGTCAAAGACCAAATATTTATATTTTCTGTTATCTTACATCAAACTTACAAGTGTTACCTTCATTAGACAGAATACCAGGTTTCATTTACAGTGAGAAATGTCTTCCCAATGTCAAGAATAATTGGCTCTAATAACTAGGCTACACTTTTCCCTGAATCACATTACTTGGGAAGTTGAATTAGGATATGGGTATTCATGCAAATGGAATCAGAGGAAGGGCAGGGATGGTCTTGAGGGATATTTCTTCCAGGGATATGAATTATTCCCTCCTAGCAATGGAGAACATCACTCCAGGACCTGGATGCTCATCTTCAGGTCTCTCTCAAGTGGTATATTTTAACGCTACTGAATTCTTGTTTGGTGACAGCTTTCTTTGTCCTATATTCTTGGTAGAGCATCTCCTCTATACTAAGTTAGTCTTTTTTTCTGATAAAATATAGTTGTTTTGGTTACAGATTTAAAATTTTTTATTATCCAGCTCTGTCTTCCTTTTATTTTATTATAAATTTTTATTATCTAATCATGCCTTCCTTGGGGAACTCTTGATTTATATTCCGAAAACCTTGTTTTTAAGTGATCTCTTTGGTTACTTCAATAAATTCATAAATTAAATATTGATGCTCACTGGTTTCAGTCACTTCATCCCCACATACATAAGTGACAGGGAATTTGTGTGGTCATTATACTCAGAGTGGAATACAGGCAGCCTTGCAGACAGCATCAGGATAAGTATCAGACACACCCTGGGAGCAAGGCAAGGTGACTGTTCTAGAATGAGACAAGAAAATGGAAGGTGACAACTGAAATAAGATCCAGGGATTCCTTTCACCATTCATTTATTCCCTTTTTCATTAATTCAACAAGTGTGTATAGGTGATTTATCATATACCAAGTTCTGTGGTAGTTACAGATGTCCAGTTATAAAGCACAGAAACATGTTGGATTTGAGCTTTTTTAGAAGTGCGCTCATCGGTCTTGCATCTGGGTCAAATTAGCAGTCATGTTGACCTGAGACTTGATTTCAATTCGACGGAGCATAAGAAACTCCCGCCTCAAGTCAACACTGGTCTATAAATTGCACACCGAGGAGGAATTGGGAGGTCGGGTCCAAGGGAACTGACCTTTGAGGATGACAGGAAGAGGGAGGACAAGGCTGAGAACCAGGCTTCATCTGACACTCTTGCTCTTTCCCAGACTGTGAAATCCAGGCCAAATTAACAGGAAACTAGAATTTGAGAATACCTTTCTATGGATTAAAAAAAATAATAATATTAATGACCACAAATCTTATGGCTCTTATTTTAATTCTTTTCTGGGGAAGGCAAAGCTAATTCTTGGAGCTTTATGCAGAAGACACGAGGCAGAGCCTATCAATGCTGGCGTGGGTCACTGCTGTGATGACTCGTATGCCTTCAGGAAGCCTTGCTTTGATGATCTGCAAGTAGATGGAACTTACATTTCTCCACATTTATCCTGTGACCAAGTCGTCGACCTTAATGAGGACTTGTGCAGAGCTCAGGAGGAGGAATTAAAAACCGAAAAGCAAAAGTAAGGATCTTTGTTTATATGTATATATACATTCTGGTTACCCTGAATCAACACAATGCATCAAAAGCCCTCCACCTCCTGGCAGTGGGGCATTTCCCCTTTAGTGCCCACCCACTCCTCCCACCCTCCTCACGTGCCCCTGATCCTGTCCTCAGGAGAAAGCGGGTCCTGGTCCTCATAGTTCCTTCTCCCCCACGATCATTAGAAATGGTTGGTAGCTTACTTCTAATTAATTTATTTACTCTAAGACTTGCTCTTGGAGAGTCTAAATATTATTAGTCCAACAATATCATCTTGCCAAGTGAGGCAGAGTTTTTGTTGCCTTGGGGATAAACACATTCCCGTGGTTAGCAAGCGCAAGGTTGTCACTTATTCTGTTTTATCACAGTACTTAAAATTCATAAGCCAACTGACCCTTGAGGTCCTTTCTTCAGTTCCCAAGGTGAGCTGATCACAAACTAGACTGTAAAGCTTTCCAGTAAGCATCCAAAAACCATTGTAACACTTAGTTAGCCATTCTTTCTTTAGCCCAGGCTGATGTGAGAAGATAATACTTTATTTTTAGAGTTCGGGATTTGCTTTCTGTTGAGGAAATTCTCTGGCATAGATAGGCACCCTTTATGTATGTCATCTCACCAAATCCTTACCGCAGATTTAGGAGGTAGATAATATTGTTACCCCATTTTAATTGTGAGGAAACTGAGGCTAAGAAGGCAAGAAGAAATGGTATGAGATCATGCAACAGGTAAATAAGTTGTTGAACTGGAATTTGTACCCAGGCTACCTGGCTCAAAGCACATACACTTAACTACCAACATGTAGCTGTTAGTGTGCCCTAATCAAGGGGTTATAATGCTGGTGATAATTTTTAATACTTGAAAATCTTCATGTAAGGGCTAGATGATGAAAAGTGTGAAATATTAGGAAGCATCCGTGTTCTAGTGAATTCACTGTGTTTTCTGTATGGAGAAAGCAATAACACAGAGACAGCTAATGTAGAGATTTCTAGAATATTCTGGGAGGATACATATTGGGAGTCAAGGGCTGGGCTGGACAAAGCTCTCCAATTTCCTGGGAAGTGGTAGGGGTTCTCTCCATGGCTTTCACCCTTATATAGTTCTGACTGATCATCATAGCATAAGTCCACATACACACAGAAAAGAAAAAAAAAAGTGAAGGGGCTCCTGGAGGGGAAAGACAAAATTCAGCAGGATTATAAAGAGAAGGCAGAAATGAGGTCATGGAATAAGACAGAGGAAATAAAGAGAATAGAAGTTCAAAGGAAAAGAATTTAAAATCCAATTAAGAAAAATACAGAGTTGAAATGTTAAGACTTAAGATATTATATAAAGACTAGAATGTGCTTTAAATGAAAGGGTGAATAAATGTAATGAAAATAAAAGATTAATATCATTGAAATGAAAAGCTGGAAACAACTTGATGGTGTTGAGGATTAAAAGTAGGATCTAATATTTTAAAAGGTAAATTAAAAAATTTAAAACTAAAGGAATGAATAGAATTAGGGGAAATGTTTTAAAACAGTTAGCAGTTAGGTTGATAGATAGAGAGATCCGGGGGGTGGGCTGGGTGGGTGCGAGGAAGTGGACAGGAGAGATAAACCCACTGCAAGCAGATCACAGGTATGTGGCAAGTCGTTGTAAGGGAGGGGGGCCTAGCTTCCAAATGGCACAGAGTCCCGAGTTGTAGAAAAGGCAGCCTTCATATCTGGAGTGTCAAGGGAAGGTACCACGACATGCTGATACCTCTGCTCCAAATCTCATTCCCAGACCTGCATTCTCATAATGGGACCCTTTTTTCCCCTTACCTATCCCAGTAGAGTGAAAGTGTTTCTCCTTGTTTATTTATTGGAGTATAATTGTTTTACAGTGTTGTGTTAGTTTCTGCTGTACAATGAAGTGAATCAGCTGTATGTATACCTATATCCCCTCCCTCTTGGACCTCCCTCCCACCTCCAACCCCCCATCCCACCCATCTAGGTCATCACAGAGCACAGAGCTGAGCTCCCTGTGCTTTAGGTAAGCAGCTGCCACCTGATCTGGAAGCTCAGCGGTCATACAAGTGTTCCCTCTACTGGTGCCTCTGGAGACGTGCATCCAGAAACCAGCTGACCCAGCAGGACAGAGGAGAGAGCAGAATAGTTGGGTGTGTCTGAGGCATAGGTGAGAGAGGGGAGAGAAACTTTGGGGGCTGAGACTAGAGGGGTTGGGAGGGGCCAAACCATGAAGACAACTGGAATCCCAGAGCTTGTGAGGAAAGAGAAGAAGGGTACATATGAAAGAGCCTTCCTACATCCTCCGCTAGGTTTCTCTATTATTGTTAAATCTACAGCTCAGACCCTCAGGGAAATTATAAAACTGCTCATCAGTTATTTGCTGAGTGAATAAATGAATAAGTAGGTGAGAAGCTGTGACAATGTACCATTTATTGTGGGAGTCAGGGAGAAGGGAGACTGTGGTTGGAAGCAACCAATAATTTGAAACGCAAGTTGCAAGTTGTGCTATTACTATAATTATTCATTATCATTGCCATAATCTGATGAAATAATTATTCATATTATCTTTGCCACTATTTATTAAGTGCCTTCAGCATGCCAGTTACTGTACTCAGCCCTTTAATATAGTATTATTTTTGGTCCTCACAAAAACCTTGCAATGTAGGTGTTCAAATTCTCATTTTATAGAGTTGGGTCAGAGAGGTTAAGTATCTTACCCATCGTCACACAGACTAGTGAGTAGAGGACCTAACTTGAGCCAAAGTAAGTCTGACTGCAAAGTTTGTGCACTTTTTATGACATTGGAAGGAAAAAGAAGTCCAGATTTTGCATGAGCTCACAGTGAAACCAGTGCCCCTCCTATACCAGCTTTGGCCACTTGGGGTGCTGAATCCCCTAGGCCAGACCATAGAAGCCCCAGTGGGTGCTGGGAAATGTGGTAATCTCACTGTGTAGGTACTCATGATGGTTAGTTTCTGTAACATGGGACTGAAGCTGTCCTATGCTTTTATGGGTTGGGTAGTGAATTTCAGCATCATGAACTATATAGTTATCTGTGGGGGAATATTTTCTGAGACAAAAACCACCAAAATTCCAATGGGAAATAGCCTGTATTTCTCACTTGGAATAATTAATTTGTTAAAAACTGATAATTATTATTCAAAGACAGTATCAACTGTTTTGACCATACATCATACATAACCATACAGACTTGAATGATACAGAGACACCAACAAGCACAGTGTTTTCTTTCAAGTGGGATCAAGTTTAGGTCTAATTGGAAAATTGAATATGTACATATCTCAACTATAATAAAACATAATTTAAAAAAGATCAAATATGTACAGAACGGTTGGATAGAAAAAAGAATGCTTATACTATTCTATTTCTTTGTAAAATGTTGATTTACTTTATTATTAAAGTAATACATAGTCTTTGCAGAAAATTTAGAAAATACAGAAAAGAGAAGAAAAACAATACTTTTATTCCAACACTGCAGAGATACCCATTATAAATATATGTATAGTGTAGGAATACATAATTCCATATCTGTACACAAGTGCACACTCCCACAATTGCCCTCTGTCCATCAACCTATGGTTTGAATACATAATAATGCAAGTTTTGCACATTCTTACTACTACCTGCTTATACAGAATTTCAGTTCCAGCAATTATCCTCAGAATCCTCAGGGGAGAGCTTATGAAACTCCCCTTACCTCTCCCACTCCGCAGGAATTCTCCAGGCATTCCTGGATCCTTGGCACCACGCCTGTGCCACTGGGAACAGTCATGCCCTCCAGGTACTGCTGTCTCCTGCTCAGCAGCAGACTGGATCCCTTTCAATTGATGACAAAGTTGCTTTATGTTTTGTTGTAAGGAAAAAATAATACCTCCCCCAAACCTCAGGATTGTACTCGTTTAGCGGGTGCTGTGGCAGTGCTGCTTGTGTCTTAACGGTGTGCAGGACTTTAATGAAAGCACTCTTACAGCCCCCTTTCAAAGAGTTATCCTGATTCCATATAACTCAGAAATGAGTGTAGCGGAGGCCCAGCTGGGGAACCACTGAATTACTCCCGTCTTCCACTGACCAGACCTTTCTTAATGGGCGGAAGACTGTGAGCCTGACTTCTTGTCTCAGGACGAGTTCTCGAAAGTAGTTCTCAATCCTCATGCCTTCTGGGAGGGAGGCTCACCTCACTGGCTTGTTATATATGCCCAGGTCTATATTATTCCCAAGGAGTTGAAACTAGTGTTACAAATGCAAAGTGGAGATGACATAGAGCCTTAATAAGGAGGTGACAGAGAGCATTACACGAGGTAACATTTATAAATTTTCGGCACATTGTCTGAAACAGAACAAATATCAAGATACTCAAAAGATGCTGGCTGTTGTCATCATTTTTAATGTAGCTTTAAAAATGATAATGTATGCAGTTTTGTCACTGATTATTCTTCAAAACAGCATTTTAATGGCTTTTTAATATTCCAGTATATGGGTACAATAATGAACTTAACCAGTCCCTGTTTCTGGGCATGAAAATTGTTTTCAGTTTCTGAGTATCATAAATTGTGACAATGAATATTTTTGTACATATGTCTTTGTCCCCTCTCTGATTTTTTTTCTAAATTCCCAGCTCTTAGGATTAGGGGCAAACATGGGGTTAATTAAAATCCCCTAGCCTCTATTGACTGTGTCTTGCTGGTGCTCAGAGGATGCAGTGATTACATGCTTCTCAGACCCACCTCATCACTGTAGCAGTTTCCGAAAAGAAAATTGGCTTGTGCTTCCTTATCTTCAGTCATGCTGCTGTTTCAGCTCTGTCTATCCTCAAGGCTGGGGGTTGGGGGGAGGGTGGAGCTGAAATGGGAAGTTCAGAGGCATGTCCAGGGCGCTACCAAGTTAAGCTAAATATCTGATTGCTGAGATGGGGTCAGCACGCTACGGCCATCTGGCCAGGGCTGTTTCTGTAGGTCCTACGGGCACTGCCTGAACAAGTTAAGCCTGGGAGCTGCAGTGCCGCGTCTGCTTCGCCTCTGTTCCCGGCTTCGCTCCTGCCTTCCCCGCCTGGGACCGAGCTCTCTCTGCCCAGTGCCTGCGCTGGTGCCACGTGCACGGTGGGGACTTCACTGTTGACGACTGCCGGACAGCAGAGGGGTGGGTGGCATCTCAGTCCAGGGGTCAAGCGACTCAGAGAGTCACCTTGCCTTGGGCCAGCTGCCCGCGCTGAGAGCGGGGTGCGGGGAGAAGAAAAGGGCGTGTCACTGGGGCACAGAGTGAGACAAGCGGCGCGCGCCCCCTTCCCCACCGCTGGTCCCTCTTCACCATCATTTCCAGCTAATGGCAACTGGCACAAATTGTGCCCGCCAGCCACTTGGGGCAGCCCACCTCAGGGGTGGGGCGGGCCTGGAGTTCTCTGTCTTGTGATATAAGAACTTATAGAATATCCTCAATTTTGCCTCTTGGCTGAAAAAGGCTAAAATATTTGCCGGACCCTTGGGTTAGAGTGTCATAGAAATAGCTACTTAAAGCTTTGAGATATTTTCTTTTATACCTATTCAAGTACAAATAAGGCCACTAGGTATTATCAATGTGAATTTGAAAATGAAGAGTAAATGAAGGTTTTGGGGTAAGCAATAAAATATGGATTAATGTACATTTCCCCTACCCTTCATGCTTGTTTTCTTTGTAGTTAAATCTCTCTTGATCAATAAAGAAAAAAAAAAAAGGACAACATTGGAAGATTTGGGATACTACTTTATTTTTTTATTTTTATTTTTTGCGGTACGCGGGCCTCTCACTGTTGCGGCCTCTCCCGTTGCGGAGCACAGGCTCCGGACGCGCAGGCTCAGCGGCCAGGGCTCACGGGCCCGGCCGCTCCGCGGCATGTGGGATCTTCCCGGACCGGGGCACGAACCCGTGTACCCTGCATCGGCGGGCGGACTCTCAACCACTGCACCACCAGGGAAGCCCGATACTACTTTATTAAACAGAGAGACAGAAGCCAGGTTATAATTTTAAATATTCTAAGTGGTTGAAACACCGATGTTTATATAGTTGTGGGGAAACTCATTCTGTGAGGGAAATCTGAGATAATTGTCAAACTACTGAAGTTTCAAATTAGTGGATTGGTTTTATTATTAGTAACATATAAGGGGGCCTCAACTTTCAGGTGTGTTATACTTGTAATATTTATTGGGAAGTTAGTTGTTTAGAATAAATGTTCATAACAAAATATTATAGGAAAGCTAATTTATTGTATAACCTATTTACCACCCAATGTAATAAAAATAGAAAATAATATTTTCCCTAGTAATAATTACATAAAAGTAATTAAATTTAATATAATAGTTATATCGATGAGATGTGCTTGAAGAAAAATACGTTGAATAAAAGATGGAGATGGCTACTGTGAAAACTATGAAAACATCAGGGCATTTTCAGGGCCTGTAAACTTAAGAGTGAGAGCTATACAAAGGCATGGGTGGTGTGCAGCTTTAAATAAGTAAGGCAGGTTTGCAAGCTGGCCTTCTAGAACTCAGGGAGTGATTTTATTTTTGCCACTCATTTCTTATTCAGACTTCTCAGCAACCTTGTGAAGCAGGAACCATATGCAGCAGAGATGCAGTTCCAATCAGTTATTGTGGATTTTGCTCACCTGGTGGAGATGTGCTGTCAAGCAGAGAAAAGTGAAATGTGTCTCCAAGAAGAGGTACCTCTGTTTCCTTGTCTATTCTCTTAGCACTCTTAGGGTACAGTTAAAAAAAAAAAATCCTTTCTCCATGCCAATCATGAATGGATTAGGAGAAAATCACAATTTAAGTGGATCGGTGTAATTGACTATATTTGAGTTTAAGATATGTTAATATTTGTGTTCATTTGAGGGAACTAGGCATGTTAGACATGAATAAAGATAAATACAAAGTCATGACACCAGATGAACTGAGATGTTTAGGACTGAGGGTGGGAGGAAGAAGGATGAGTCGAAGACTTTCTCATTATAGAGAAATGGTGTCCTTGGAAATATAGAGCAAACTGTAGCTTCATTCTAGGAATTTCTGGGGGCATAATCAGGAAGAGTCACCAAATGTGGTTTAGGGCTTAACTAGGAAACCGGTTTAGGTGGAAAGGATTGCATTTTCTCAGTGGCAGATCATTAGAACAGGGGGTTGAAGAATAGAGAGAGAAAAGAACAGTGACCAGAAAAAAGTGTCTCTTTGTGCATACACACCAAACTGAGTACCAGGAGACTGTTTTGTGTAACTAATCTAATTGCATACAGTTAACAAGCAAATGACTTTTCATAAGATGGTAACATTGTATGACTTAAATTTCTAAGAATATCATGGTAATCCTACCATCCCTGTGTGGCACAGAAAATTCATGTGAATTCATGGAGGGGACCTGGGATGGACCGTTCTCCTGGCGACATGACTTGAGAAGCAGAAACTAGGGTATAGTAGGTAATAATATCGGAGTAGAAGAATGCAAACGTGTGATTCAAAAAATAGAATATTTATAGCAGGCTTTACAGTCAAAACAGGCTGTGGCTAGTTAGTCCTAGTTAGGACTAGGTTTAGCAGTGGCCCAGGGAAACGTTTTCACAGGTAACAATTTTCATGAATGCCTCAATTACCTTCAGTGGCTCTTTTCTACTTTTTCACCTAAACTGTACATGTGCTTATGTTAAAAGCCATATATCTATGGTGTAGTCAAAGGTAGACAAACTACAGCCCTCTGGCTAACTCAGCTCCACTCCCTGTTTATGTAAACAAGGTTGCATTGGCACACAGCCTTGCCCATTTATTTACGTGTTGTCTATGGCCGCTTTTTACAACAGCAAAATTGAGTAGTTGTAAGACTGAGTAGTTGTGACAAGACTGAATGAACTGAAAAGCTCCAAATATTATCTGGCTGTTCACAAAAAAACTTTGCTGACTCCCAGACCAGCTGATACACAAAATGAAAATAGTCACAAGTGCCCATTTATTTACTTTAAAGCCCTTTCACTTTTTTGTAAAACATTCAGAAAACAGATCTCTACCTGAGTAACAACCCCATATCCACACAGATAAACACTTTTGCAGAAGGGCCTATGCCTAAAAATTCCCAAAGGAATTTTCCTGAAGTGTTCTTCCTCTTGAGTGTGAATGCTTCTTGCTTGAACTATTTCATCAACAGCATGATAGGAAGATTTCTGTGTGCTTTTTTTCCCCACACTTTTTGTCTGACAGTGCTCTTCAACTTAATCGTTGAAAAGCCCAAACTTTTCCCCTTCCCTCCCCTTCCCTCTCTACTTTCTTTTAGGATTTCTCCACAAATTAAAGGAGAAAATAGGGGCTATCTGAAGAATATATCATGTTAATTAAAATTTGCTAGATGAACTTCTTCAGATAGAAATGCTTAATATATGTAATTCTGCACCATCTATAAAGTTTGACCAAGTATATCTCCGTATGATTATTTTAAGGAGGTGATTCTGAAATATTCGTGTGCATCAGAGTTACTTGGAGGGCTTGTTGAAACAAAATCAATATTTTCCATCCCCAGCATTCCTGATTTAATAGAGCTAGGGTGGGGTCTGATTATTTGCATTTCTAACAAGTTCCCAGGTGCTACTGATGCTGCTGGTTTGGTGACCACTTTAAGAACCACTTTCCTAAGGCGAAAGTAGATAATCATAAACTGTTTCCTCCCTCCCTTCCCAATATTTTTATATATCTAACTTAGTAAGAAGTTGGAACCAAGGACAGTAACAAAAATAATAAAACAATTGAAAAATAACCTATTTATGAAAGGAAGTGAAAGATTTTGGGGACATTAAATACAAAGGTAAGACTGGAATATAAAAGCAATAACCTTATATGAATAGGCTTAGCAAAAAATAAAGGAAGATATGATCGAAATATTTTGGAATCTTATCATCAAGAATTTCGGTGAGACTTTGTGCCTCTATGTTTATGGAAGAGGTCTAGGTTTGACTGTAATGCAAAGGAATAATACCTAGTGGCTTTGGGAGTCTCCATGGAACCAAAATCCCAGAAGTGAAGGGGCTTAGCCAATTAGCAGTCTGTAGATGTTCCAAGTTAGACTAACTGCTCCAGGGACCTACATGCATTTTCTTTGTTTTCTTTTCTGAGATTAGAATAGTCAATTATGTGAATCTGTTCTGCCTGTTAAAAGAGAAAGTGGGCAGGTTTGAAGATTGCCTTTCTAGCTGTGGCTAGTGGGAGGGTAAAACATTTTTAGACAAGATGGAAGACATATTTTGAGAAGTAAACCAGAATGCAGGAAAATTCTAAGGAGAAAAAAGGGAACCAAAATTAATGTTGGAATGTTGGTAAGAATAAGAATGAAACAAAAAGAAGGAATAAAATAAGAAACTCAGCCATACAAGGTGAATTTGGATCTTCCAAAGAAAAGGAATTTCATATTTCATGAAATAATGATGTGAATTGTAGACTTCAGCAGTTTTAAGGAGAAAACTACTCAGAAATTCTCTCCTCCAGGTCAGTGGGGAATGATAATTGTAGCCTGAGACACTTATCTGTCACCCAACAGAATATAACATAGAAGAAAGTTAACAAGAAATAGCAGGAATTTGGGCAGGTTGAAATGATGGTTTGAAAATAATACATGAAATTTAACAATAAAAAAAGCAAAGTTCTGCTCTTAGTTGTAACTCAGCACAAGTTCATGTGGAAAGACTTGCTGGTTTAAGTGGCCTATGCTTACAACTTGATGGGTCTACTATCAAAGCTACTGCAATCCTGGGATGCATCTCTGGAGAAAAAACAAGGATCAGATTAAGCAATGTGATATTGTAACCACATGGATCAGGTCACTCTGGGATACTGTATTTAGTTTCTTATGATACATTACACAAGTTTTGAAAATTACATAAGTAATACACGAACATGGCAAGAGTTCAAACAGAAGAGCAGGGTACATTTCCCATTCCCAAAAGGTAAGCAATTTAAGTTTTCACTTTTAGTATTCCTAGTGATTACCATTATTACTTTAATAGTTTTTTAAAATACTGCTGTCACTTAAAGAATATAGTATACTTACACTAACTAAGACAATACTACCAGTAGACTCTCATTTTTTTTTTAAGGTAAAGTATTTTTGTAGTTTTAGCTCTTTTATCGGTTATTCTCTATTTCTTGGTCCTTCGACTTCAATCAGCATCTAGTGATTTTCCAAAACATAATTAACATGTCTAAATTTCTAACATGTCTAAATTTCTTTGCCAGCTTTCCTTTTTAAAGCTATACCATTACTTCCACACTGTCTAGGTTTATTCATCCTGCTTTGTAAATGTAAGGTTTATGTGCTTTGTCAATAGGTTGATCCAAAAACTGGAAGCCATTAAATAGTGTTCAATAGTGTGTTTAACTGTAATATTATTTACAGCCGTACAATGAATGGATTGACCAATAGTTCAATGACTTATCCTGGATCACTTAAAAAGTGTCAAGATTAAATGAAGTCTTTTTTCTTACTATCAACTGCAGAAAATATGCCACATTTATTTAGCTTTACATATCTGGACTATGATTTCCTAGTACATCCTTCTTTTTTGAGAGTTTCTAATTACCATTCTTTTTCCATGTTGACAAATAAAGCATCTACTTTCATCACACCACGAAAATATATCACACTGCTAAATTATATCAGGTTCTTAATCATACAGTTTTTGTAACAGAATATTCTATCATCTTAAAGTTTGATAAGATTTGAAACTTACAGTTTGATAACATTTGAAAAGTCCTCTGACTTAATCTTTCAGTTTGGATTTAGTTATTTCTGGGACTGATTTATGGCTGTCCACTAAGAGTTTCTTTTTAAGTGTAACTCTGGGTAAAATTGACTATTGCTAACATCCCATTTTGTGTTTTTTTCTTGGATTCTTTTAAGTTTTTTTTGGCTACCTTCTTAAGTTAGGTATGTATGTATGTATTCATGTATATTTTCAGAATGGGCACCCGGGTGATAAACTTTAGGGGCTCTTGCATATTTAAATATTATTTCACCCATATATTTACACAGTTATACTTTAAGCTGGTATGTTAGTTGGGGTTCTTTAGTTGTAAATAATAGGATCAAATTCTGACTAACCTAAGTAAAAATTAGTATATTGAAAGGATAGTAGTGACTTCAGGAATCTTTAGGAAGTTTAAAAAAATGGGCTGAGCAGGAGATAAGAACCAAAGCAGCTCAGAAATCAATGACTTTCTGGTCTTTTACTGCTGGTACTTCTTTAATGTTACTATTCTGAGCTTCTATCTCTGCATTTTTATATGTTGATTAATATCACACCAATGACTATTTTTCAGAAGTTCATTATAGCTCTTACACTGATGGTGTTTTTTTTGCTTCTTTTTAGCATCAGTAGGCTTTATTCTTTCCGGTATATTGTTACTCTTATTGAATTGGGATTTCAAAAGAGATGAGAGGTGACCCATTTTAAAAGGATCTTGGCAAGTTGTTATGTCCAGCAGTATCTAGAATGTAAAAAGGTTTGAAAAGCATGTCACAGGATTTGGAGAAATAGACTAGTGATGATTATTCCAAAGTCTTCAGATGGATGACAGGTTAGCAGTCTCCCATACAGACAATGTACAGGCTGGAAGAAAATATTTGCAAACAATGCTACTGACAAGGGATTAATTTCGAAAACATACAAACAGCTCATACAGCTTAATACCAAAAAACCAAACAATCCAATCAAAAAATGGGCAGAAGACCTAAATAGACATTTCTCCAAAGAGGACATACAGATGGCCAACAGGCACATGAAAAGATGCTCAATATCACTAATCATTAGAGAAATGCAAATCAAAACTACAATGAGGTATCACCTCATACCAGTCAGAATGGCCGTCATTAAAAGGTCTACAAATAATAAATGCTGCAGAGGGTGTGGAGAAAAGGGAACCCTCCTGCACTGTTGGTGGGAATGTAAGTTGGTGCAGCCACTATGGAGAACTGTATGGAGGATTCCTTAAAAAACTAAAAATAGAGCTACTAATATGATCCAGCAATCCTGCTTCTGAGCATATATCCAGAAAAGACGAAAACTCTAATTCAAAAAGATACATGCACTCCAATGTTCATAGCAGCACTATTTACAATAGTCAAGACATGGAAGCAACCTAAATGTCCATCGACAGATGAATGGACAAAGAACATGTGATATATATACACAATGGAATATTACTCAGCCATAAAAAGAGTGAAGTAATGCCATTTGCAGCAACATGGATGGACCTAGAGATAATCATACTAAGTGAAGTAAGTCACACAGAGAAAGACAAATACCATATGATACAACTTCTATGTGGAATCTAAAAAATGATATAAATGAACTTATTTCCAAAACAGAAATAGACTCACAGACATAGAAAACAAACTTAATGGTTACCAGAGGGGATGGCAGGGGGTGGGGGGCGATAAATCAGGAGTTTGAGATTAACATATACACACTACTCTGTATAAAGTAGATAAACAGCGAGGATCTACCATGTAGCACAGGGAACTATAGTCAATGCCTTGTAATAACCTATAGTGGAAAAGAATCTGAAAAAGAATAGATGTATATGCTTGAATCACTTTGCTGTACACCTGAATCTAATACAACATTGTAAATTAACTATTCAATTTTAAAACATGAATTAAAAAAGGAAATAAATTAACATTCAAACAAAACAAAACAAAAATAGTCATGGGTCACCATGGAAGTAAGGATACGTAAATTCCAGAGGTATTTTTAAAAACAAGCCTAAATAGATTTCAATCTTTCTAGACAATTTAGGTGTGGTACTGTTTGAAAGTGGGAAGAACTAAATTACTAGACTTCTAACCATTTTCTACAGGATCCTGGAGGCTCTTAGGAGTGTGAGTCATCTACCCCTCAGATGTGTGTGTGTTCATACCTTAGCAGTGGAGTTCTAGGGGGTCCCATTTCCACTAAGCTAAAGATTTCACTTTTATCTACTTGGGCTTCCACAAATGATTTTTATTTGAATAAGGACTATACAGGTACAAATTGGGGAAAACTATCGGACTTAATATCAATGTCTACACCAGTACATATGAAGGGAGTAGAGATAATCTGATCAATTTTAGTGGTTTTGTTCCTCTTGAATTTCTATACCTGAATATGCAGTGATTTAGCATGGGATTACCCTAGAGCTGTTTTAAAATGCAGTGAGAAGCTGACATTGATTGTTCATTCTTACCCTGCAAAAGAGTGCCATATTTTTGTGAGGAGGAAGCAAATTTTTATTTATTCTAAATCTGGGGTCCTGAAAGTGGATGGGGCATTGCAGTTAATTAGGTCCTTAAGCTAAGGGACTAGGCCTGTGAGAAATTCTGAGACCTTGAGAGGCAGGCTTATTAAAACCCATCTCAGGCATGCAAAAGGGAAGTCTTAAAGATTTTCTGTTTGGGGATCAGAGCTGCTTAGCTGTTTTCTCTTTCTCACAGATGTGCTTATTTCCTTTTTTTTAGGGGTCCAAACTGATCAAAAAGTGCCAGTCTCTTTTGGGAGGCTAAATGATTCCAGCATATGTCAATGTACAATCTTTGCTGAGAACTGCTTTTTGTTTTTCATGAATAATGAAATGCATGTCTAATATTCAAAAGAAGAATCAACATCGTTTTTCAGCTACTAGCAATGTTACTCAGGAACATTAACTAGTCTACACTAAATCTCTCCTGTCCTACTCAGCAGAGAAATCTACTTATTGTAACTCTCCTACAACCCGCTTCCATCCCTTCTCTCTCCCCATAAGCTTTCTACTTCTCAGAAGCAGCAGCAGAAATATGAAACCAAGGGGCCTTTCAAAACCTCAGGTGGATGTAATGAGCTGCCACATTGAACTGGGACGTGGCTGCTGGGTTTCTGGAGTGAAAAAGAACCCAAGTCCCATTTGTGGTTTCTATCTGTACCACTACTGAAAATGATTATTGATGAACTGAATGAAATGTGTTTTACAATAAAGGTACTTACATGACTGTATTCCCTTTCATCTTTACCCGAGATATGTGATGTTGACATTGTCACCAAGTGGTCCTAACATATTTATGTTCACTTGAGCTTTCAGTGTTGATTTGTAATAGTAGTCTTTTCCCTGGAAATCCCGGCATAAAAGACATAAAGAACTTATAATTTCGACTTAGTTTTGCGTGTGTAATGAAGTAAAAATAAGCAGTGATATTTTAGTGCTTACTAACTAAATGATTTTGGTTAGAGAAAATGTTTAATTCTCATTATAGTGCTCTTGATTTCAGTTTTTCCTTATTCCAGTAATTTCAGCATGTTCATATATACTAGCAAATTAAATCCAATAAACATTTAAGTATCGTATTCAATACACTGTGCTAGGTGTTGCAGGGAATAATATGAATATGATATGGCCAGATCACTAATGAATTTAAACAAGATATAAACACATAAGGAATTATATTAATGGGCAGATTTCACGTTTCCAGTGTCACAAGAGCAGAGCTAACTAATGTGGAACCCAGGAGTTTGAGATCACACATAGCCACAGAGACCAGGAAAGTTCATGGAAGGAGTGACCCTGGCCAACGACTAGAAAATAGGCACATGTTTTACCAGATAGATGTGGAGAGTGTGAGTGCGAATGGTGAGTGATTCAGATGGGTGGGTTTTGAGACAAGAATAAAGTAGTTGTGGGCAGTAAGACTTAGTGAAAGCCTAGGCTACAGTGTTGGGTGAGGACATATTATAGTTTAGTTATAACAATAGCTAATATTTATCACACACTTCTTATGTGCAAAGTGTCAGCCTTTAAATATATTATTCCTATAACTCCTACAACCGTATAATGAAGTAGGTACCATTATTTCTATATCACAAATGAAGACAGAGAGATGCCACTTGAGGGTGTGTAATTAGGGTGAGGCCATATATTCCAGTGGTTAAGAGTGTGGGTCCTGGAGCCATAAGTTCAAATCCTACCTCAGTCTTCTACTAAAGAGCTTAGCAAATCTCCCAACCTCTCCATGGCTTACTTTCCTCATCTTTAAAATCAGGTTGAAAGATTAATTTCCTCACAGGAGTGTAATGGATGTTAAATGAGTTGATCTATGTAAGGCAAATGCTAAGTGTGGTTAGTTTCAACAATATAAAATTGCTGCTTTTGTAGGCCAAATATGGACAATTTCAAATGTCTCAGTCTAATAGTTTAGCTGTTACTTAGAAGAAAAATGGATGCTGTTGAGGGTTTTGCCCTCTTGAATTGCATCCTATTCCTTTCCTTTCACATGTAGTTATCTCAATATAATAGATACATCTGCCATCTTTTCCACCTCATCAACTGCCTTGCAAATGGATTTCTTCAGTTCTTAAGCCAAGCTGAACAACCCTAAACAAAATTCCATAGTAACACTGCCTAGCTGTATATTTCATACTGCCAAGAGATGATAAAATACACCACGATATTAGGGAAAACTATATAGAAAAGTTTCGATATGTTTTTAGCTACTAGATCAGATTTGTGAAAAAGGAGGCATATATACAGGGGATTTAAAAAAATATTTTAGACAATTTATTCACTCATTCTTTTATTCATTCATTAATTCATTCAGTCCTTTATTCAATTGATTTTTATTGAGCACATCCAATACACAGGACACCATATTAAGTACAACAAAGTATACAAAGATGAATGTGACAGGTCCTCTACCATTAATAAGTATAACATTATCTAGAACTGAATTTGAACTAATATGTAACTGGTAGTGAAATATTTGGACCACCTAAAACAAGGATGAATGGTTTTGTGACAAAAGTTTATATTCTTGTACTATGTAAAGATGACTCTGAAGTGAACAGATTTTTGTCTCAGAAATTATATGTTATCTATTGTGATGTAACAAATTATCCTAAAACATAGCAGCATACTACAACAAACATTTCGTACCTCACACATTTTCTGAGGATCAGGAATCCAGGAGTGGTTTAGCTGGGATTTTTGGCTCAGGTCTCTCATGAGGTTGTAGTCAAGCTCTTTGCCAGGGCTGCAGTCGTTGAAGGCTTAACTGGGGCTGGCCGATGGCGCACTCCCACGGCTGTGGGCTGTGGACAGGGTGCCTCAGTTCCTTGTTGGCTTTTGGGCTTTTGGAAGAAGGTCTCAGTTCCTGTTATATAGGCCTTTCCCTAGGGCTACTCTGGATGTGGCAGTTGGCTCCCCCCAGAGCCAGCAATCCAAGAGAACAAGCAAGGAGGACACCACAGTGACTTTTATGACCTAGTCTCCAAAGCCACACCCTGGCACTTCTGCTTTCCTCTGTTCCTTAGAAGTGAGTTACTAAGTCCAGCCCATTGGCAAGGTGAGGAAGATTAGGCTCCATATCTTGAGAGGAGGAGTATCAAAGACTTCATACATATATTTTAAAACTACCACAGTAGTGATGTTAACATCTCACTTGCATAATTTATTTGAATTTTTTTTGCATCTAGTAGAACTCTGTGCTTGCATGTACTTGCTACTCTTTTGTTGGCAACTTTTTAATCATAAATTTTCTATTTCCTAAATAGAAAAAGCAATATATGTTCATTACAGATTATTTAACAAGTGTAGAAAAATATGAAAAACATGAATCACCCATACATAATTCTACAAACCAGACATAACCACATTTAACATGTTTTTGGTTTGTAGTGTTTATGTACAAATAATATACATACATATATAAACATATATCTATATATCTTATGGATAATAAACTTTTGGATATTGTATCTATATTCTTATCCAGATACATAAGGAGAATTTACTCTTATAATTAAAATTTATTAGAAAACAATTTAAGAGCTGCATAACAATCTATAGGTAAATGTTTCTTTCCTTCCTTAATCGTTTTTTCCTATTTTTGAACATTAGGCTATTTACTTCCTTTTATCACAATAAATAATAATCACCTTTACATAGTGTCTTTGTATATATGATTATTTTCATATAAGATCCTACAAGTAGAATTATAGGATGAACTTATTACTAAATTGCTTTCAAGGAAAGTTATATTCATTTGTAATTCTACCAGTAGTAGTTTAAGTGCCCATCTCATTGTAATTTGTTGAGTATTTAATATTATCATTTCTTAATCTTCTTTAATAGATGAATTTCACTTTCCTTTGCTTTGCATTTTGTTGACATGCCAGTTATTTTATTGCGTCTCTGCTCCAAATTCACTCTTTGTTGTTGTCTGTGAAAATGTACATGGGAGCCTTTCTATATGCTTCCTTTGCAGCTTACATGATGTCATGCTTTGTCAGTAGGGGGCACTGGAGAAACACTGTAGGAGGAAGTTGGTCTTTCCGGATTCTGGGAAGCTGACTTTCTTCCTTCACTGCTCTACCCAGAGTGGTTTCTTCAGTGCTAGTGGCCTGTAGGGTGTAGCTTTCTTTATGTTGTGTTCCTCCAATCCCTTTTGTAGCTTTTGATTTGGTTTGTGGTGGCACGGCCTGGAGGCCCAGTAGAGGCCTGTGTCCTAGTTCAGATCATTACTCTCCATACCTTCTCAACTTGGTGCATGCTCCCAGAGAGTGCCTTGTGGGGCTGATCATCTGGTAAGCCACTTGCCCCACCTTTGTCCCATGCAGCCTCAAAGATGCCACAGTCCAAGGCATACACAGAGTTGTACTAGGTTCCTGCAGAGATGGCCCCTGCAGCCCCCCCAGTCCTAGCAGCACTGGCAGCAGCACCCCTGACTTTTTTGTATGCCTACCCTTCAGCCTCAGCTTACCTGTGTCCCCAGACTTTGTTTCCTGCAGACCTCCAGACACCGACACTCTGTGATCTGGCTTTGTGCCTGCAGAGAAGCCCCAAGTCCCTCTTGCTCACCTGTCCACCTGATCCACACTCCAGAGAGTTGTTCCTGATTGGCCTATGACTGTGGCCCTGCTGTGTCCTGGGCAACCAGAGGATGTCTCCCCTATCCACTGGGCTGCAACCACACCTTCTCCAATGAATTCTCAGCTCCTCTCTCCAAGCTTTTCCTTTGTGGGGTATTCTTCCTCAGCCTTAGGGTACCCTTTGGAGTTCTCTTCACATTTTTATAGTTACTCTATCATCACAGCTAAGTTCTTTATATTAAATTTCCCCTGTTTAAATGACTGTGTGGTTTCTGTCTCCTGATTAGACACAGACTAATACAACTGATCACTATTAAGATACAACTTTTTTCACATACTTATTAGCCATTTGCATTTCCTCTTCTGCAATTTTACTTTTCAAGCCATATGTCTTATTTATTCTATCCGGGCATGGTATTTTAAAAAGAATTTTTTTTTAACATCTTTATTGGGGTATAATTACTTTACAATGGTGTGTTAGTTTCTGCTTTATAACAAAGTGAATCAGTTATACATATACATATGTTCCCATATCTCTTCCCTCTTGCGTCTCCCTCCCTCCACAGGCATGGTATTTTTTAATGCATTTTGTAGACTTTCAATGTATTAAAGATGAATCTTTTGTCATGTTTATGGCAGATACTTGACACTACTTTAAATAAGTATACTGAATTTTAACCATTACATTCGCTTTATTTTTGTGAGGTGAGATTTTCTTAATAACTGATAGATAATAGGATGAAGATGCAAGCCCATGTCTTATTCAGTAAAGGAGATTTCCTAGGACTGAAAAGCTCACAGCACACTTTTACTTTTGTCTGGTTTAGGATTTGGTTACACTGAGAAGTAATACCTTTGTCTTAAACATGTTTCATATTTTGATAATTGATCTTCCAACTGGGTTTATTACATTCAACCTTATCCCATAGTGTGTGTAATATAATCAGTTTAATCCAATGCTTATGAGGAATGCAAATAGAAGTAGTAGTGGAATGGAAAAGAGCTGCATAAAACTCCCTTTTAATATAGAGTTCATAAATAAAATCATAGATAATACTTGTGGCATTCTCAGTGCTTTTTCAGATTGGTTAAGTGTACTTGATGGACCCTGAGTGTTGTTTTGTAGAATGAGTTGTCCTGGAGAAAAAGGGCAGAGCTCCAGATTTCCTGCCCAACTTCGACTACCACAGCTTTGCATTATCTTCTATATTTATTCAGCAACAAATTGTTATCATGGGTCAAGCCTTAGCCTAGCCAACAAAATACACTAAATCTCTGTGATATGTTTGTTTGGAAAAATAAAGAAAACTAGTTCAATTGACAAAAGAAAAGCTTAAGAACACTTTTGAAAGTCATCTGTAGAACAGAGGGGGGAAAATAAAAGAAGGGCTCAGGTTGAGAAAATTACAATTTGGATTTCTTAACAGAGTCCATAATCTTTTCCATCCCAAAGGACAGATAGCTCTGATGTTATAGATAGCCCAAAGCCACGTATCCATAGAAAGATAGTCCTAGCTTTTATGAAAAGGCTAGAGTTTAAGAAGCTGTGAAACACCACCACCATCAGATTCCTTGGTGGGGTAGTAATGTGCTGATTTTTTATTTTAAGAGCTGGCAGGTTTTACTTCTGAATCATTTCTGAGAGTCAGTTGATGAGAGTTCTCTTGACAGTTGAAGCTAAAATAAGTTTAAGCTGCATGGCGTCTGAAGATGCCATTTAAATTCAAGTTCATTGAGCGTTTTACTATAAAACCTATTTGAAATACATAGTATCCGAGCTTATTCCAGTTACTGAAACTAAATTCAAGTTCCTTCAGTCCAACTGTGAACCCTACTTAATCTCTTCAGTTTAAAGAGAGACAAGCTTTTACCACATTCAATTTCCTACAGATTCAAGTTCACATATATTTGTATAAATGCAAGTATAGAATTTATGCACTCAAATAGTTGTAACACACTTCTAAGTTTGTTGAAGTGTTTTAGCAATAGTGACCTGTATTGCTAAACTGTTGTCTCTGTTTTTATTACCTGTTTACTTCGAAGACATTTCAGTATGATAGCCTTTTCTGTACTGAATCTGAAATAAGGAGAAAAAGAGTATTAACAACTGGACACATTTTGTGCCTTGAACCTTTTAAAGAACGAAGCACCCAGTGTGCAAGCTCTTAACTTACTTTGTTATTGTTCTTTGAATCTCTCTTTTCTCTTCTTCATTTAATCTTTGAAGGATGGATTCCAGGAGAGAAAAATGAAAGTTAATATACTGAGCCACCTGAAAGAAAAACAAACAACAAAAGCAGAGCATTTGTGTGAGAGATGCTGAGTGACGAGAGGGTAAAGACATATTCAGGGCAATGGCATCCATACATCACTGTTAATTTCTTCTGCATCTTTATCCATGAGGAAAATGCGAGCATTCTTTTTGGATGGTCCCTGTAGGAGTCTATGCAGTAGCGGAATGTCTGTTTTCTTTAGCCGTCTCTGCTCTGCAAATGAAAATAAGAATCAACTACAGTCAGAGGAAAAAAAGAAACATAATTTGTCCATTCATTTTGCTTCTTCAGCTCACTTTGAAAGACCTAAAAAGAGCATACAACAGGAGGAACTCACTCAAAAAAGTAAATTGAAATTAAAACCTTTAAATGAACTAAAAATGGACTTCTTTCTCTTGCTATCCTTCGGGGTTTGACTTTCTATCTCAGAATGCCAACTTTGCCTTTGGTTTGGATGTTCAGACAAATCTTCAGTCCCATTTATGCCTTGTATCATGCAACACTCCTAAAAATTTTTTTTTACAATTTTTCATTCATTCAACAAATATTTATTGATCTTTCCTAGTTCCATTAATGTAATTCTATCTTTCTAGTAGTTCAGATCCAAAACTTTGTAATTATCTTCAGTTCTTCATTTCTCTCTCACTCCACATCCAATCCTTGGCTTTTCTTAAAAATATATTCAGAATTGTTATTCGCATCAGGGATATTTTGTATTATTTCATTAAACTATGGACTTCATCCATTCAACCATAATAATGAGATGAGAAAAAAAATAACTTCCTATTTGGTATAGTCCCAGAACTTCAAATTTCCAAAAGTCACAAATACTCCCACCACAAAATACTTCTAGCTTTCTGCTGAAGTAGTTTCACATCTGTGATTTCATTTTAGGACACAGTGCCTTTACATTCATTTTCTTTCCTCCTTCCTTCCTCAAATATTTTTTGAGTTACAACTACGTACCAGGCCTTGTTCTCTGTACTGGGTACACTACGGAAAAAGCAGACAAAAATCACTTCCCTCATGAACCTTACACTCTAGTGGAGAAGAAGATGATAAGGAAGATACATCAATAAGACATGTCACATATAGTGAGAAGTATTAAGGGGAAAAAATAAAGCAAGGGAGGGGGCAGAAAGCATGCACATGTGTAAATACATGTGTGCAGGGGAGAAGTTTGCAGTTATTGTAGGGTGGTGGAGGAAGGCCTCACTGAAGATGTAACATTTGAACAAAGACCTGAAGGAGATGAGAGAGGAACCATGAAGCTATTTAGGGGAAGTGTGTGCCGAAAGGGTAAGTAAATAAATAGAGCACCTCTGAGGTCAGTGCATGCCTAATGCCGTCAAAGAGCATCAAGGGAACAGGGTGGCTGGCACGGAGATGAGGGGAGGGTTGTTAAATGATGAAGAGAAGAGGTAATGGGACCAGCACAAAGACTGTGACTTTACTGTCAGAAGAGAGACCATTGGAGGATCTAAGAAGAGGTGTGACATGGTCTGACTTCCATGGTTAAAGAATAATCTGTCTGCTCTGTTGAAGTAGACTGAAGGGAAAAAGGTGGACCAGTTAGTCCTTTCTACAGCATCATGTATTTCCTTGGGCTTTTAAAAGTTCCAAGTGTCAGAACTGTTCTCATCCCCTGGACTGGACCTACCCCAGGAAAAAGGGCAAGAGAAGATCTAGAACATAGAAGTCCAGCTTCCCCACAATTAAAGTGACATCCATTCATTCCTATGTCCACAGAGTCAGTGTTCGTTGCTTTAATTCCTCTACCTTTTCTGAAGCAATGGGGAACCCGATAATTTAGCTCCTGTCATTAACCCACCAGAATCCTCTTCTGACCTTTACATCTTGTATTAACTTGGTTTTGCATCCTCGATTTGCTTCATTCTTGATATCACAGGGCAGTGTTCCTTGCTTCATGGTCACCTGGGATAATTATTAGAAATATGCATTCCCAGACTGTCCTCAGATCTGGAGGGGCTTGAGAATTTGTGTTTTAAATGAACTCTCCAGGTGATTCTGAAGGGTGCTACAATTCGAGAAACACTGTTATAGATCGTGCGCTTAGTAGATAAAAGGTATTAAAAAACACAGCTATCTGTTTTCCACATTACTACCCAAACAGGTGCTATACGCTTCATTCTTTTCTCTATTCCTGGTGCCTAAAAATGTCCTAGTTATGATTATCTTCACTTCTGGATTTCATGTATAAGAAATTTTGACACAATTTAAAAGAAAACATAATTTTCACAGGTAAAATTGAAATAACTACATTTTACAGTAAAAATAAGCATTTCCCCCCGATTTTAAAAATAACATACGTATTGGGGAGGGGAAAGGAGGTTATATAGGTCAAAGAGTACAAATTTTCAGTTATTAGAAGAATAATTTCTGAGGATCTAATGTACACTTGAAAGTTGCTGAGAGTAGATCTTAAGCATTCTTAGCCCAAGAAAAAAAAGAGTTAACTATGTAAACTGATGGATGTGCTGATTATCTTGATCTTGGTAATCGCTGCACAGTGTACATGTATGTCCAATCATCACATCGTACACTTTAAATATATACAATTATATTTGTCAGTTATTCTCAATTATTCCTCAACAACATACATACTACTGTAATTATGAGGAAAAGAATAAGGCAGAAAGTAAAAATCACCTGGAATCCCAGAACTCTAGGATAAACAGCTTTTCACTTTTTGTGGCCATCCCTTCACATATCTCTTTATGCACACACACAAGCAATACATAAAGGTGGTCGTATCACACTTGCTATTTTTATCGTACACATATTTTAAAAAATCATAATTTGTTTTTTCCTTTTGTGCTTTTTCTCCTTCCCATTGTCTTTTCTGTATCTCCCCAATACCCTAACCAAGTAATCAATGTTATTGGCTTGGTATTTATCTTTCCATACCTTTCTCCCTGATCATATGATCATATAAACCACATATATAAATAGGGATTTATAATTCTTTTTTAAAAATGGGATCATACTATATACATTTATAGGCATCTTGCATTTTTAATTAAATGTATATTATAGAATTCCTTCCATTCAACTGGTATAGATATAACTCATTTCATTTAATGGTTGCCTAATAATCACTTATTAAATCATTCCTCTATGATGGGTAACTTTGCCTTTAGCTTTTTGTCATTATAAATAGCCTTCCACATAAATCTGTAGGCAGTAGTCCTTTTATTTTTGTGAAACACATTCTCACCAGTGGAATTGCTGGGCTAAAGAATATGTATACTGTGGATTTTAACAAATGTTGCTAGAATGAATTTTAAGAAAGTAGACAGACAGATCTTCACCAGAATTGCAAGAACATACGCTTTTACCCTTATCCACACCAGACATAGGTGATAATATTACATTGAATTTTAGGGTTGAATTTACATTTCCTTAACTTCTGCATTTCTTTTAATACTTGTATTTCCTTGAGTTTAAGACTTTCCTAAAAATATTTACTGGTTACTTTGTTAATTTTTGAATTGCTTTATCATACTTTATTTTTATTGGATTGCCTTTTCACTATCATTTTGCAACAACTTTTTTTTTTTTTAATTATTTTTTTATACCGTACACTGGCCTCTCACTGTTGTGGCCTCTCCTGTTGTGGAGCACAGGCTCCGGATGTGCAGGCTCAGCGGCCATGGCTCACAGGCCCAGCCGCTCCGCGGCATGTGGGATCTTCTCAGACCGGGGCACGAACCTGTGTCCCCTGCATCGGCAGGCGGACTCTCAACCACTGTGCCACCAGGGAAGCCCTGCAAGAACTTTTTGATGTTGTATGTATTAATCTTTTTCTGATATTCTTCATAATGTTTGTATCTTTTTTTCTTTTTTAAAAAAATATTTATTTTCTTATTAGTCGTCCATTTTATCCACATCAGTTTATACGTGTCAATCCCAATCTCCCAATTCATCACACACACCACCCCCCCAGCTGCTTTCCCCCCTTGGTGTCCATACATTTGTTCTCTACATCTGTGTCTCAATTTCTGCCCTGCAAACCCGTTCATCTGTACCATTTCCTAGGTTCCACATATATGTGTTAATATATGATATTTGTTTTTCTCTTTCTGACTTACTTCACTCTGTATGACAGTCTCTAGATGCATCCACATCTCTACAAACGACCCAGTTTTGTTCCTTTTTATGGCTGAGTAATATTCCATTGTATATATGTACCACATCTTCTTTATCCATTCGTCTGTCGATGGGCATTTAGGTTGCTTAGGTGGCTATTGTAAATAGTGCTGCAATGGACATTGGGGTGCATGTGTCTTTTTCTTTTTTTTTTGGTACGCAGGCCTCTCACTGCTGTGGCCTCTCCCATTGTGGTTCACAGAATCCAGATGCGCAGGCTCAGCAGCCATGGCTCACGGGCCCAGCCGCTCCGCGGCATGTGGGATCTTCCCGGACCGGGGCACGAACCCCTGTCCCCTGCATCGGCAGGCGGACTCTCAACCACTGCACCACCAGGGAAGCCCCGCATGTGTCTTTTTGAATTATGGTTTTCTCTGGGTATATGCCCAGTAGTGGGATTGCTGGGTCATATGGTAATTCTATTCTTAGTTCTTTAAGGAACCTCCATACTGTTCTCCATGGTGGCTGTATCAATTTACATTCCCACCAACAGTGCAAGAAGGTTCCCTTTTCTCCACACCCTCTCCAGCATTTGTTGTTTGTAGATTTTCTGATGATACCCATTCTAACTGGTGTGAGGTGATACCTCATTGTAGTTTTGATTTGCATTTCTCTAATAATTGGTGATGTTGAGCAGCATTTCATGTGCTTCTTGGCCACCTGTATGTTTTCTATGGAGAAATGTCTATTTAGGTCTTCTGCCCAGTTTTGGATTGGGTTGTTTGTTTTTTTACTATGAGCTGTTTATATATTTTGCAGATTAATCCTTTGTCCAATGATTCATTTGCAAATATTTTCTCCCATTCTGATTGTTGTCTTTTCATCTTGTTTATGGTTTCCTTTGCTGTGCAAAACCTTTGAAGTTTCATTAGGTCCCAACTTGTTTATTTTTGTTCTTATTTCCATTACTCTAGGAGGTGGATCAAAAAATATGTTGGGGGCTTCCCTGGTGGCGCAGTGGTTGAGAGTCCACCTGCCGATGCAGGGAACACGGGTTCGTGCCCCAGTCCGGGAAGATCCCACATGCTGCAGAGCGGCTGGGC